CTGATTTCTTCGTCTGCTCGGATCTGATTTGTTCTCTCCCATAATAGGTTGTTGTTAATAGTATCCAGCCAACGGATCCAAAGTATTTTGCATAGACAGGTAAACAATAAGTCCATCTAAACTTGTAACTGATTGGTCAGTTCTGTTCAATGCGGTCCAATGAAATAATCTCTAATCTTATAGGTAATTTTATCATATTTCTTGTTAGTTGATAGAATACGATTATATTCATAGTATAATACAGTGTTGATTGACTGAATGGAATATGTTATAATATAAACAACATACAATTTGGCATATTCTGTTTTTGGTCTAAGTTTCCATACTATACACCTCATGTATAAGATAAAGTAAAGTGGTAAATTATAAACATCTTCCCTAACTTTATATTATCAAAATAAGCCTATAAGCTATGTTGATTGTTGATTATATTATTACTAAAGAATTGATCATTTATGTGGATAGACAAAATGTTGTTTTCCTATTCTTATCTAGTAAATAAAAACTGTACCATTATATCCTCAACCCCCCCCGCGCGCAATGTCTGAGATGCTAGATATTTAAAACAAAAAAAAATTGGCTTATTAGTCTATCATTCTGTTGAAACAATTAAACATTTTATAGATGAATTCATAAGTCAATGGAACTTAGATCATCATGGAAAACCTGGAAACATTCGATGACCGTTTCGACCTAGTATGGGACTCCTTATCAGTGTGCACCTATAATAAAATTACTAAAATCTCCAAAAAAACCCATTCTGATGATAATCAAGAGGTATTTCTTAAAGATTTTGTGAGAAGCAATGACCAATGGAGTTTAACCTGGTCTGTTGTGAGATAGTAACTCACTAAAGACAATGGTGAATGTGTTACTCGATTTCGCAGATTAGTTGGAGTTAGATATTAACACCGTTGGATGCTCAGCGGTTTAGTGGTCTGATGGTTAAGTGCTCGCATGCAAGACTGATATGTCCTGGGTTCGAATCTCAAGGGGAGCGGGATGGTGGATGCGCACTGCTGAAAAATCTCAAAATAGGTCGAAACGTTCGTCCATTGCGTCTAGGTTTTCTATAAAAGTGTAGCGTCAATTGACTCATCTTATCAACTATTAAAATTAATATAATATCCATAAAACCCCTTCCGATATTAATAAATTTAAGCGCTTTTTCATTTCGCTAGGCACTAATGGTAGATGCAACGATGTTCGATAGGAGTAACCCATCTCAGAGCTAATAAAAACGCGGGTTTGTAGGAATCATCTTAATGTTACATTTAGAGAGCTTTACTTATATTAAGAGGATTCTTACTGAATTCTTAAAGCATGCTGAATTTTTATTGGCCCTGTATCTGACTCTAGTTAAATCATTATTGTTCGATGTATCGCATGCAGATGCTACCTCAAGTCGAGTTGTTAAACAAGCTTATTGCTCACACAGATTTCTTAGACGAAATTCTTGTTTATTAATATCAACATTTAATACTGTCAGCTGACGGTTTATTTCCTCCCTTTCACAACGAAGCTCTACATCTTGGGCATCCACTAGACGAGATTCATCATAAGCAGGAGATATGGCTTCAACTTGTGGTTGATAAGCCGGTTCTTTAGTCTGCTATCGAAGTACAGAACTTTCTTGACGAAGATTAGAATACCCTATTACATGGTATTGAGATGCTGGTTTTCATAATGGATGATTTGACTGGTAGAAACTGCTTTGATTAGAATGTTTAATTGTAGGTAGATGATGAAAATGATCAGAAATCAGTCGAGAAAGGATTTAGAAGACTGATGTTGGATCCGATGCTTTCACTGGTATATGTAACAATGGAGGCTGACTAGTTACAGTTTGTGACTTCAAGATAGGTACGTTAACTATAGCTGAACATAGTAACCGACACGTATAGTAGCTCATGTGCAATTGAGTTTGTTCACATGTAATTTAATTTAGCCCTTTTGTTAACTTATTTAACGGAAAAAGGCATTCGTACAACAATCACAACTTATATCATTGTATCTTTAGTATTGTTGTACTTTTATGAATATGTATGCTTGAGCATTACTTACTACCTACACAAAGAGATTCATTGTGATAGCTTTACTAATAGTTACTTAATTGATTCGATAATTTATTCATTTCACTATGTATACCTATATGTACATCTTAACCTTGTTCATTGACTCGTTCATTCGACTTGCATGCTCTCTCACTCGCTTACTTTTCAGTATTAACCTTTCATTCTTGTTTCACATGTCTGTAGTTTTCATGATCTGTGCATCGTGTAATCATAAACGAGATCAATACTTTGTAAACATCATCTGATTTATACATTATTGGGGACATGATCAAGTAACAGTTATTAAGCTGAACAGTATACAAAGTTTAAAGATGATCTTTTTAATACCAACCATTATACACATCAAATTTACATTAATTTATGATTTTAAATTTATGGAACATAATCATTTGAGAAATATTCTGTGTATTGATAGAGTTTTATTCTCTGATCTAGATGGTTTAATTGTGAAGACCTTTATTTGGTTGTCATTTAGATCGGATGATGTTTGTTGACGGGCTCTCCATTTTAGTGGCCCATGGATCTGACTCCATTTAGATCACATGAATTGTTGTGATTGAATTATATATGTCGCCTATCCTCGTATATAATCATTGACTTAAATCACGTTAGTCAATAACCAGATTAAATAAGTCAAACAACGAGAATGAACTTTTGAATACATATATTTTGTATATGAAGCGAATGGAATAGAGAGAAGTGAAACGACTGTAGCGTGGTGTCGAGTTGAGCTTGACTATGAACACCGCTACAAGACTACGTGCCAGTAAACCAATAAGATCCCCGTAGGCCAAAATCAGAAGACAGATGATGGCTGTAGTCGAGATATATTTACTGGCGATCTTGTGGTATCGAAAGAATACCAAGATTGTACCAAAGGAATACAAGCGTGGTTACTGAGCGTAACCGAGTTCAAAGTCAACGGGAGAGTAAGTGTAATAGCTGTCATTAGCATAGTTAAACAAACGATCACAATAAAACAATCACTGGTACAATTGGTTATAATAATAATTGTTTTTATCGAACCAATCGTGTTCTGTTGACAAAAGTAGGTCACTACACGACGCGCAGTGGAGATGGTGGGTAAGCCAACTCCCTCTCATTTAATCAAGCGTTAATCAATATTTATAGTTACACAGAAACAAGTTACATACATACGCTGAGTAAATGGGATAAGAAGTCTACATACGCCTATATGCTCATATAAAAACAGTGAAGATTAATAAACGAATAATTAACAACATCAGAATGTGACTCAAGTAGAATGAATAGATTGACCTGTCCAAAATCTAGAATAAAGTATATAGACTTAACATAATAATTGATACTACAAAATACATAGTTTTCATTCATAAAACAAATTAGTGGAACACTTCAGGTTTTTAATAAAGTCTTATTCTCTGAGCTGGATCTTTTAGTCGTAGAATTTTCATCGTTCATCTGAATGACATCATCAGAACAAATATAAGACCAAAAAATATCATACCAATCAAAGATTCAATCAAAACAAACAAGTAAACAATAATAGATTTCAAGTTAACAAAACCAACTGCACATGAAGTTGTAAAGGACAACTAGTAAACCACATGTATAGAAATTCGATTAATTCACTTCTTGCAGTTAGTTCCCTTTATGAATTTGAATAAAGCAAGAACAAATATTGATGCAGAATAGTATGAATTCATAATATTTCACTCTCATTACTAATGCTCTACGTGAAAATTCATACCCGTTGAAATTTATCCATAAATATACAAAAAGCCAATCCTCAGGCAAAGTATGATAGAGTTGAAAAGAAATCTTGCTTCTTATATCTACGTTTCAAAGGAGATGAAATTGCTGGCTTAATTAATCACAGACTAAATTCCGCGTTGAAAGTTGCCTACCCAGCTGCAAAATTAACGACAGTATGGAAAACGAACTGCTCACTCAAAGAAACTAAAATCGACAAGTCCTCTTTTCTTAGTAGCTCCAACTGCATTTACCAATTCACATGTACGAGCCAAAGCACATACATTGGAAGAACTGAGAGAAGAGTACATGTTCGTATTTCTGAGCATGTTCCAAAAAACTTGAGGCTGCGGGGCACGAAGGTTCTTAACAGTGCGATAGCTCGGCATTTACTAGACACTGGACATACCATTGATATCTTACACGCCTTCAAAATTATCAACAGACAACGAAGTACCACTACTCTCCGGTTCGCGGAAGCGATTGCGATAAAAAAACTTAAACCGGATTTATGCATCCAAAAAGAGACATTAATAAACATATCATTACCCTGGTAATTTTTTTTTTGTGTTATTTTATTCACTCACTTTATTTTCTAAATATTCATTCTGGGTTATATTCCCCCCATTACCTAATTCTAAACCAACTTTCCATTCACACGTTTCCGCCCACTAATCCTCTTATATCATGTCAACCCTTCTAATTCTATCCAATTATTACGTAACTTGTCTTATCACTGTTCTATTACCTCTAAAATAATTATCACATAATATATAAACTCCATTCAACTATTACATCACCCACCTTTAATTGTTTCCTTAGTTCTAACACCATCCAACCTCTGACCTTTTCTAGCATATATATATATAGTTATTATTCCAGTTATGCACATTCATTTATGCCAATTGTTTTACACTATCTTAATGTAAAAAGCTTATCACATATTTGGTTGTAAGCAGCTGATGAGAAACCTCAAAATATTATGAATTCATACTATTCTGCATCAATATTTGTTTTTGCTTTATTCTAATTCACTTCTATCTAAAGTTTATATTGATGATATTGTTCAGTAGAAGAACAATAAACATTCCATAACTATAATCATTCAGCTTAAAGAATAGAACTTTATCAGATTGTTCTCTCATATATCCTTATATATATATCTCTATCTATGTATTTGTTCTTATTTATTAGGGATCAAAAATTACGTTATCATTATCCATTACGTTCAACTATGTTACATTCCAATACAATAACATTAATGAATAAAAAGAAATTGATTCAAAGTTATGATTTAGAAAGTCATTTAAGTATTTATGATACATTTCGTAAATTTCATAATGCACGTAAAAATTTACAATTTGGTGTATTTAGTGATACAGAATTATTAACTAGTAAATTTACAATAACATCTACTGATGATTCAGCTATTGATAGTTGGTGTGATGATGATTTATATAGTTCTTCTATGGATTCATTATATATTAAAAATTATTTTATCAAATCTAATAAAAAAAGAAATTATGTTATGAATAATACTAGTACTAGTAGTAGTACGACGACAATGACGATGATGACTACGACGGTGACGACGATGACGACGACGATGACGACGACGACCAGTACTAGGACTACTACTAATAGTAATGATAATGAAGATGTTTCTTTTAGTAATAGTAGTAATAGACAGAAACGAATATCAACCATATCAAATATAAATGATCATAATAATGAATCAATCAATATTGAAATGAATAGATCAATTAATGAAAATACAAATAAAAATGACACTTCAATTATATTGGATTATAAACAGAATAGTATTGAATGTAATAATAGAATACAAGTAAGTGTATTATTATTTTATTGAATGTGTTATTTCAATATGGAAATAGGTTAATATTAGTGTAGACTGATTTTACAATTACTTAAAGTTAGACATTAACACCGTTGGATACCGGCGGCTCAGTGGTCTAGTTGGTCAAGCGCCTGGCGCGAGACTGACGGGTCCTGCGTTCGAACCCCGAGGGAGACGGGGCCGTGGGTGAGCACTGCTGAGGTTTTCCATGGTTGTCTAGCTTCAATTGATTCATGATTTAAACTATTGAAATTACTTTAGTTAGTTTACTTATGTCTGTTATTCGCAATGAAGTATGGGCCGTCGACTAATATTCTCTAACATAATCTGTCCTCAAACTTCTTTTCTCGTTCTATCTTATTTTTGTTCATTTTCCTCATGTCTATGTCCATTGAGACCGGTAGTAACCCCAGAGAGGTTCCAGGTGGAGTTCATTAACAATCCGTAAAGATTATCTCTTCGAGGATAGTACCTTAAACCTTGAGGTATAACAGTTAGAGCATTAATCTATCCTGGTATGGCTGAGGGTTTGGAGAGTCAACTCTCTTTTTCTAAAGTCCTACTCACTGTATTCTCGTAGCACTACTGTTGTTTACAAAATTTAGGGGACGAAAAGCAAATATCCGGATTGGTGGACATGAAAAGTCCACCTAGGAGAGTTGGAAAATTCTGATACCAAACTAATGGTGAACATGGGTTACAGGATCCTGAAGGAACAAACGGCATATTAACCTGTTGTTGGTCACTGTTTACCATAAAACTGCATCTCCTGATGTTGTTGCACTGTCTTATGAGTCAAACGTTTACGTCGAAGGATCTAGTTGTGACTCTCTGAGAAAATCACCTGTTTCGGTCTGGGCACCTGGGTAATATCACTGCTCACATATAAATCAAGTGACTTGTGTCGTGTATATGTATTCGTTTCCCCCTTTTGTACAATATTTATGTGTTCAAATAAATAAATAAACAAATGGATCAAATTGGTTTAGACAGTTAATTGGTGTCGTTCAGCTTTACATTAACTCTATGACATATAGCTGACTACTACTACTATCAAATGTTTTCGGTTAATGATCTAAGTTTATAAAGAGTGAAAATGAACACTACCCATTTAAGTTGATTTGTACTGATTGGGATTATTTTTTTCCCAACACAAATATTCACATTTCAAAAGAACGGAAAGATAATTAGGTCTATATATATATATATATTCCCCTTGATTGAATGGTAATCGTTGAAATGACTATACAGTTTGTTGTAAAAGTTTTTCTGCATAGATACAGTTAAAATCGTTCTCTCTAACAACTATGGATAAACACCATAGTGAATGTGAAGTTATAATGATAACAAAACATTTAAAGTAATTAGTCCCTTTGATAAATCTCGATAGTATAATAAAAAGGCGAAAATTATCAGAACTATATGATGATAAATTCACTTGGTATTGTTGTTTTGCTTGAATCTTCTCATTGATGTTTACAACTGCAATTGATCAGTCTTTCTCTTGTTGGCATATATGCATCCTGTACACATTGCCTCGATATTGCCTTAATTTAAAAGCATTATAAGCAAAGATGGATAGTAGCTAGCAGTGGAATTCGTCCTATTAGGGACTCATCAGCTGGATGTATTTACTTCTCAGAGTTGATGTTCACTCTGGGACACGAACTTAGTACCGTTCGCTTCAAACGCTATCGCGTTTCATTGAAATCTAATTGAAATAAGGTATTATAATAATAAAAAAATGAAAACAAACAAACAAACAAACAGTGAATTGAATGTAAACAATCTGACAACTTAATTTAAGGTTATTATACTGATTAATTTATATTGTTTATATTGTTCAATGTTATTTGTTGCTAAGGCAACAAACACTTATATGAAACAAACAAACAGACAAACAAACAAACAAACAAACAGAGAGACAGACAGACAGACAAACAAACAAACAAACAAAACAATCAAGATGTTTGTTATCCACAATTAACTTTGTTTAACTAATATACATATTACATAATAGAAAGTTCATATTGTATCCATGCCATATTTATTTCTTCTTCTTCTTCTTCTTTAGGTCAATTCATTTTGTTTTTTATATTTCAACTATCCACCTACATATTTAGGGAAATTCATTTTACAAAGTGATAATAATAATAATAATTTATTAGAACAATTTAGTCTTCAGTAAGTCTTCAGTAATAAAGATAGTAGATTGATGAACCTGTGTTAATCCTGACAGATTGCCTTCCAGTGATGGTACAGTTTCTCCTTGAAAATATTCATTGATGGGGCTGATACCACTTGTTCGGATAAGGCGTTCCAATCATGGACTACTCGATGAGAAAAACGGTACCCCCACTTTAAGTTTATTAAATCGTTGTTTATGAACCTTCTTGATATGACCTCGGAGATTATTAGTGATGGAAGGAGCAAAATGATAAGACATATTAACACCTAAATCATAATTAAAGATATGAAATGCTAGTATAAGGTCACTTTGCGTCCTACGATACGACAAGGGGGAAAAGTTTAAGCGTTTTAAACGCACATCGTAAGGGAGTTTAGAAAGACCCTTCACTAATTTCGTTCCTACACGCTGGACACACTCAAGTGAGTTAGTATCCTTTACCAGACATGCAATAGCTGCTTGAATACAGTACTCTAAATGTGGTCTTACATAGATGGAATATAAAATTCGAAACATTTCTTCGTCAAAAAATTTGAATGCCCAGCGAAGCGACCGTAGCGCATGAAAACCTTTGATCAGCGGCTGCGTCGCAATGACGAAACCGAAAGTCCTGTGTTCCAACCCTGCGTGCGAGATCATCAATCAGCATCGCTGAGGAGTTCCATACAGAGATGAAACGACTATTCAATGCTTCCATGTTTTCCATGATGTTCTAGCTGTAATTGATTCATGAATTTCACTATAAAATTACTAAAAAAAATCTCCATAAAATCTCGTTTTGATAATAAATTGATAAAAGATAATTCTATTTACACACTAACAATATTTTAGAAGAACGATTGAAAGCTAAATACTGTTAAATATTGTATATTGACAAATTGATATGTGATAGAACACTGACATAATTCATATTTTATAGTGAGTAAGAGACCACTGAGCCTGTCTAACTTCAACCAATGCAAGAAGTTGCGCCACCGTACAGTGAGTTGATATATCACAACAGACCCGGTTGACTTCCGCTGATAACGACTTCTCACTAGAACTCCAGGAAATACATCTTAAAGTCAGTCACTAGTGAGCAGATGATTATTATCTGAAGGGGTTTTATGGAGATTTTAGAAATTTCACTGGTTGAAATCATGAATCAATCAAAGCTAGAACACCACGGTGGTCTCGATGGGGGGCGTGATTGTGGATGCGCTTTGCTGAGGAGTCCCATACTAGGACGAAATGGCCATCCAGTGCTTCCAGGTTTCCTATGGTTGTCTAGCTTCAATTGATTCATGATTTAAAACAGTGAAATAATGGTTAGTTGATAAATTACTTAGTTAGTGAACTATGTGAATCACGTTTAACATAAGAATGATTCTCATCACCCGTAGTTATGTCATTAAGATTCAATGACCATTAGACGGTAAGACGAACGTCGAGCGACGCCAAAGTGACCTTGAGAATGTTCACCTACTGACTATTGCTAAATATGAGTTTTAAATCTGTGTGATTTACTGTTGATGATTAAGGTTAGAAATTAGATTTAGGGTTTTCATCACAAACTAACATTAGCTAAAATGCCAAGACGCTATTTAACCAAATGAATGAGTGAATTTTTCGCCAAAATCCAAGATCTGTTATTTTAAATCTGATCAATTCGTTCATCAGATATAGTCTCACTGATTAGACATATATCTTGACATGAGCTATGATAGAACATAAATATTCAGCTATGACTAGAAACACGATCAAATTCAGAACTTTAAACACTAGTCCCAAACGTAATACCTTAGAGCTACAATGTTAAAAGTATGTTTAATACACCAAACTTTATAACTTCTGTCAGTACATGGTAGAGAACCTTAACTAGAAGGCCATAACCTATAGAGTCAACCAAATAAGGAAATGAGACAATGAGTTCAACCTGTTAGATGGAATTTCATCAGTACTTAGTATTAAATAAAGATGACACGGAACAATACTCATCGGCTATTCATTTTAAATATTTCACTCCAACAGAAGTTTGAAAAAACTTAGCGATAACATTTCAGATTAAGAAACCGAATAATACGGATTCGAACCCCAATGAGTATACCAATTCTCATAAGATTATGGATATTTCTTAGTGATGAATCTCAACTAGCACGAAATTTAGATCTAAGACTTCTTACTGATTAACTCCAACTACTTATGATCTCATTAGACTAAGGTAATAGTCATCCATAATAACTATATTAAACTTAATTACTTACTTACTTACTTACGCCTGTTACTCCTCACGAAGGAGCAGCACCCCTCCCGTATTTAGCCTTTGGTGTCCAGCTTGGCTCCAATGGATTTCGCTGATTCCCAGTACTGCCAATGTTGTATCTCCTCATTTCCGTTGCTATTTGACTGGTCTTCCCAGTCTCCCACATTGTCCGGATGTTCCATTTACTTATAAATGTTGTTGCTCTGGTTGTTAGAAGAGGCATTGGCCTCATGGTTTCCGAAGGAACTCGGCTTTCATCGTGACGTGTCATAGTTCTTCTAAATGAAGATCTTCTAACTCCCAGGGCAGAGTTTAAATGGTTTGTGTTATTTTTTCTGGTTAGCATTTTTTAGCGAGTTAGTTTTCTACCCAGGCTTGAGACCGGCAGTAACTCTAGAAAAGCTGTAGGCGGAGTTATATCAAACTTAGACAAGATATAATTTGAAAGTTCACTATTTCAAATATGTTAAGAATTGAAATGGAATAGTCTGAAATTCTCATTTAATCAAACCTTAAACTATTCTATATTGCATACTGTCTAACAATAGGAGCGCTTTACTATTATGTATTACTTTTCTTTTCTTATGAATATATATATATATATAAATACATGCAGACATTGAAGAAGATCAATCCACCAGAAGTAAACAATGTTTTACAATGTAAAAACCATTCTTTGGATCCAAAATCTCTTAAAAATTCTTCTGAAGCTTCAAGTGATTCACAATGTAATCTTAAAGTTGTTGCTCCACCACCAGTGGTTATCTATAGGAGAAGATTTCAAAAGTTTACATCTAAAAGAATATCAAAGTTTACTGATCGACAAGTAAGTAATATTTTCTTATTTTTTTAATAAAACTAAATATCATTCTTAAATTACAGATTATGTAATTGTTATAACTTGTACCCTGGGTACCCGTGTTAATGTATCACATAATGATACCGCCAACTAGAAGACAGTGATTTATCGATCAGACAAATGACACATAAAACAAGTACGAGCAATCAACAGTCCTTATCGGTCCTGCTTACCGCTTAGCCCTGGCTATTAAATCCAGAACATTAATCTCAGCTTCTGCAATATGAATCATTTATTTCAAGCATACTGGATTTATACTGTTTTTTTTAGCGAGTTCGTTTTTACGGCATGAGGTCGTTAATCCCATACCCATCCGTCCTCCTTTATCCGGGCTTGGGACTAGCAGTAGCTCTCGGAAGGACTCTAGGCGGAGTTGATACCTATGGGAGAGAACAAACCAGGTCCCAACGGAGGAAGAAATCAGAAAGAAGCCCTTGAAGTGGATAGGACACACATTGAGGAAAGCATCCAACTACGTCACAAGACAAGTCTTCACGTGGAATCCTCAAGGTCGAAGGAGGAGAGGAAGACCAAAGAATACATTACGCCGAGAAATGGAGATTGACATGAGGAAAATGAACAAGAATTAGATGGAACTAGAAAAGAAGTCCCAGGACAGAGTGTGTTGGAGAATGCTGGTCGGCGGCCTATGCTCCACTAGGAGTAACAGGCGTAAGTAAGTAAGTAAGTAAGTAAGTAACGTCTCTGACTGTGAAGCTGGATGACACTGGATCGAATCTGTCAGGGAGCACCAGTTCCATCAAAGATTACAGGTACACCTTGCTGATGAGTGCCAAATAGCACGGAACACGGGTCCAGATTGATAAGTCTTGAGATTTTGAACGCTATACTCGATTCCTAAGCTATTCTTGAAGACCCCCAAGCTAGAACTATACAGCGACCTGAACACCAGAGAGAAGGCTCAAAGTATGCGAAAAGTACTTTACTTCAATGTTCCTTTTTTGTACAGAAAAACATGGATATTTATAGATGTTAACATTTGTTGAATCAACATCATATTTTGGTCAATCCGCTAAAAGACATATTATGCTACTGACCAATAGTAGCACGCCACGTTGGTATTCTAGAAAGCTCCATCGTGCTCTGATTGGCTAAGACTCTTTGGCTCCTACAGGGCCTCCGGAGGCTCTGTCGCAGTTCTCGGAAAGCCGACTTAACACAGAGTTTCCTGTCGACTACCTCCAATCACCATCGAATCTCATAATAGTGCCCGCAATTTCGAGTCACCTAGACTGGTGGCTACATTGCAATATGGTCGTTAAAACTCTATCTGCACTAATAATAAGGACTAGACACGTGTGACATTGGTCACCATCCAGTCATCAATCAATTGTGATATATTGAGTGTAAAATCTCTACAGTAATTGCCTCTTATTTCTTTAAAGAACAAATATGAAAGAAAAATATATAAACCATTATGATGATACTTTTTGAGTTTCTCAACTTAACAGAATGCACACTGGTGAAGAGTTTTATACTAGGACGAAACCGCCGTCTAATGCTTTCAGGTTTTCCATAGTGGTCTATGTTTAATTGACTCATGCATCATATCAACTATTAAAATTACTATAATATCCACAAAACCCTCTTCTGATATGAATCAACATATGCTCACTAGTGACTGACTTCAAGTGGTATATCCGGGAGTTCTAGTAAGAAGCAGTGACTAGTGGAGTTCAACCGGGTCAGTTGTGTCGCTAAATATCGTGGATTAGTTGGAGTTAGACATTAACACTGTTGGATGCCGGCCACTTCAGTGTTCTAGTGGTTAGGTGCTCGCGCGCGAGACGGGATCATGAATGCGCACTACTGAAGAGTCCTATACTATACGTTTTTCATATTGATCTAGCTTCAATTGACACATGAATTCAATTATTGAATTCATTTATCTTGTTATACGATAAAACGAATCATAAAAATTAATGAATCCAGTTAATAAATCTTACATTATAAACAAACACAACCAATATGAAAGTTGTTTGTTTGTTTGTTTTCTTCCTTGCATATGTATAATTTATGACATTGCATTACTTCTATCTTCCTATTGTTATTTAAGACTACAAATGATCAGTCTCTATCTCTGTACTTCTCACCATCTCTATTTTTCTCTCTTATTGGTATATATGTATATCCTGTGTATGGACTCACCTTTGTTACTTTTATATTCAATAGATGGATTAAAAGGTGTAACATTGTGTTTCATTAAATTAACCAGGAAATTTCGATCTACATCAATATGAATTATTCAATACACCATATGGAATTAGCCCCCAAATGCCCTTGTACGGCCGAGATTGGGGACAGTCCGCTCTCCCTCTCGAAATGCTCTCACATGACCATGCGTATATAGTCTCTGACAGCGAAGTCCTACTCACTGCCTTCTCGTGGCGGGGGTGCTGTTTACGAAACTAAGAGGACGAAAAGCGAATGTCCGGCATTGGCTTTAACCGAATCCCAAATCAATGGTGCACATTGGCTAGCTCCAGTATTCTGAAGGAAAAAATGGTGTATGAACCAATCGTTGGTCACCGACTACTATGGGACTGCATCTCCTTACGATTGTCCATTCCCTTGTGGATCAGATCTTCAGGTCGAAGGCTCAAGGTGTGGCTCCCTAAAGAAATCACCTGCTTTGGCTTGGATACCCGGGCAGTATCATAGCCCTCACACAAATTAAATGAGATTTGTGTGGTGCATATATATTTGGTGCCTCCTTGTACCAATATCTATGTATTCAAATACATAAATAAATATGGAATTAAATGATCATTTGAATTGTAACCTACATGATTGTTGAATAGATGTTTTGTTTTCTGTTGTGTGTGTGTCTTGTTATTCTCTTTTTCGATAACAACACCAAAAAAAAAGAAAAAAAAACTTTATTACATATTGTATCCAACATGGATACAATATGTAGAAATACGCCTTATTGATTATTACATGTTACATAATAATGATAACTTTATGCCGCCAATTTTGTTGTTGTTTTCTTTCGAAATATAATTAATGTAATCGTTGTTAATTGAACTAGTTTTTTGTTGTTTTATACTTTGGTAGGTCTTCTATGTTTTGTATATAATTAAGATAATTTATGTATATATAGGGTAGAGGGGGGGATGTTGAATGTGTGATTGCTTTCTGTTCAAAAAACAGTTCTATATTATGAGACTATTAAAAGTTGAAAACTACTGAGTTAAGTATTTTATTGTTGTGTTGTTTACAGATTCTTTGTAGTATAAAATTAGAATTAGAAGTTAAGCGTTTGCGTGTGGAATTGGTAGGTCCTGAGTTCGAATCCTGTGAGTGAGATAGTAGATGTTGATTGATGAAAAAAAAACGACTGTTCAATGGTTTTAGGTTTTCAATGGTGGTCTAATATCAATCGGTTTATGATCTCTTAATCAGATACTTAATAATCTCTACAATCCTATACTTAAAATTACAATAATAATTAAAAGATAGTTAGACGTAATGATAAAGTAGGGGTATATATATGAAAAGTAGGGGTCGCATTCTTATAAATTGAACAACATATGAAACTCAAAACATAACTCTCAACCAATATCAAAGTCAAAATTTTCAATACGAACACCAAGACAATCAGTTCTACTGTACGGAGATGAAACATGAAGAACTACTAAAACCATCATCAAGAAGTGACAAGTATTTATAAACAATTGTCTAGTTAATATACCCAATGTCTGTTAACTGGATACCAATACTAACAGCGTTCTGTGAAAGAGAACAAACCAGCATCCATTTGAAGTAAGAATTAAGGAAAGACGATGGAAATGAAGAAATCACCAAACTACATCACAAGGCAAAGCTTAACTTAAAATTTTGAATGGAAACAGAAAATAGGAAGGTCAAAGAACACATTACATCGGGAAATAGAATCATATATGAAAAGGGTGAATAACAACTGGAAAGAGCTGGAAAACTTTGTTCAAGACAGGATTGAATGGAGTATTTTGGTAGATGACCTATGCTCATCCATGTGGAGTAACAGACGTAAGTAAGTAAGTAAGTTAGTTAGTTAGTTAGACTTTTCATTCAACTTTTACATCCATCTAACATCATCACTGGTTTTTTTTCTCTCTGAAATGTTTTTCTTAGAAATCTGCTAATTGTAAAAATATGGAAGAAATAAACTCTTCTATGAATAAGACTGAGAATAGAATAAACCCTACTCTAACTATTAATAATCCATTACAGACAAATATGAAACATTCAAAGATAACATTATCTAATGAGAATAATCATAGTAGTAATGTAGAAATGATGAAAGAAATGTCTCAGTCAAATAGATATCCCTGTCATTTCATCACATCAGAACAAAATAAATTATCTTTTCAAAATGTTACAAAAGAGAAACCATTTCAAATGATTGATAAAGTTGGAAATAATTGTTCAATCAAGACATTACATAGACCAAAACACTGTTTGAATACGAAAACCCAATTATCACCAACAACAACATCATCATCATCATCATCATCATCATTACCATTAATATCGATTTCTCAGAATTCAAAAATAAGAATACCTCAATTGATGGGTACTACAACATGTATACCCATGTCACCAATACTATCTTCTTGTTGTTCTAATGAAATGAATGATAAACCTAATTGTAGGTTATCATCATCTATGACGTTGAAAACATCAAATACTGTTAATAAATCCTGTCATTCTAATACATTGAATTCTTCTGAAATTCGTCGTCTTAGAACTATATCACATAGTCCTATAAAATCTCTTTCGAATACAGCATCAAACGATAGAAAAGAATTGAAAATGAACATTATGGCATCATCCTCTTCATCATCTTCATCATCATCATCATCAGCAGCAGCAGCATCAGCATCATCAAAATCATCTCCAACATCACCGATTTTATCAAAAATGAATACGTTTAACTTAGTATCTAATGACAATTGTAGTTTACAATCATCATCAATGATTGATAGTAGTAAAACTATGCTCATTGAGAAGATTTCAAAGATTCCTACTACTCTTTCTTGTCTTTCTCCTTTTACTTCTTACACTACTACTACTACTACTACTACTACTACTACTACTACTACTACTACTTCTACTTCCTCAATGACCACAGCTATGATAGATTCATCATTGAAAAAGTTTAATAAAATAATTCATAAACCTAAAATGAATTCAGAGAAATTACATAGACGTATATATTGTAATAATCATATGACAGAATATAATCATCAAATTACACCATCAATCTCTATACCACCACCTATACCACCACGTACTACATCAAGATCATATACATATCAAGGAAAAATGATAATATTAAAGTCTAAATGTCTTAGTGTTACTAATAGTCCTTCTATGTCTAATCATAATGAAGTGGATATACATAATGATACAAAGAATTGTTATAATCATTACTCTTTAAACCATTATTCATCTTCTATAAATCATGAAAAAATCAATATAAACCCATCACAAAGTGAATCTTTGAATGAACTAAACAACTTAGGTACTAGTACTACTACTACTACTATTAGTAGTAGTAGTAGTAGTAATTTATCATCTTTCTCTTCACAATGGAAACGTCCATTTCAATCTAAAATAGCTACAGCTGTTAGTACACATTATAAATATCCTATAGAACATTCATTATTGAAATCTTCAAGTATTTCATCTACATCAATATCATCATCATCATCACCACCATCATCATCATCATCATCATCATCATCATCACCATTATCTTCAGGGATTCTTTTCACAACTCATAATGATCTATTAACAGATTCATCAAAATATATTACTAATAAAATATATAATAAACAGTATAATCATATACATAATATGAATAATGAACAAATAGAACATAAATTAATATATCCAATCAATTATTATTATAATCCTACATTAGATAATACAGATTTTCATACACAATTCAATACAACCACTACAATAACAACATCAATGACACCAATACATGAGAATCGATTCATTGAAACTTCATATCCACATCAACAATGTGCATTACATTTACAAAAATATTCTCTATCTTATCATCCACATCTTCAACAACATCATCATCATCACCACCACCACCAGCAGCAGCAGCGACAACAACAACAACAACAACCGTTGTATTATTCTCAACATTCAAAATTGTTTCAAACTTTAGAAGCAAATTCCCATTCACCACATCATCCTCATCATCCTCCTCCTCCTCATCATCATCATCATACAGTCAATGATACCGTCACTAATCATAACATAACAATAACTGATCCATTAGTTTATAATAAACATCCATCATCAATTTATACAATAAACAAATAATCAAATTACAATCAAAGTAATAAGAAAAAATAAAGAAAGAATGACTCTATTCAACTCACATGTTAATATTAGACTAATGTAATATATAGTGTTATTCGTGTATCATTTAAGTTTGATATGAAGGGTGGCTGTGGGAGTGGCGGTGGTGGTGGTGGTGGTGGTGTTAATGGTAGTGGGGGGGTACGGTAATGTATACAATACCCATAGTTAATATGATAAAAAAAGAGAAAGAAAAAAAAAAGAAGAAGAACAGAATAACACTACTTATATTTGTTTGTTTGTTTGTTTTTGTCTTTTGTTTGTTTGTATGTTTGTATGTTTATTTTTTCATCTTACCTACTAGGACCATTACAATAAAATAATCAATTAAAAAAGTAGGTACTATACTACTGTTGTATAGTTGTATAGTAATGGATGAATGTTTATGAAATTTATATTTCTGTTCATTTTTCTTTCTTTGTTTTTTTTGGTTTCTTTTTCATAATATGTAATCTAATGTATGATTTTGAGTAAGTAGAGAAGATTTATAGCTCAGGTGAATGATTTCGATGAAGTTTTGTTGAGATGGTGGAGAAGATTTATAGCTCAGGTGAATGATTTCGATGAAGTTTTATTGTTCTTTGAACTAGATAATAGTTCCATGATCAGACAATCTAGCTCAAAGAACAAAACAGATGTATGATTAATGAATCTACTACTACTGCTAATAATAATAATAATAATGTATAATGTAAACATTAAATAAACACAAATTATTACTGTTCAATAAATCCATTTGGTATCTTCTATCTTCTTATGGTTGCATTAGGACTGTAATTGATCAACCTCTCTCTTATTGACATATGTGCATCCTGTACGTATTGCCTCGATATTGCTTTAATCTACAAGCATTATAACCAAAGATAGATAGTGGCTAGCATTGAAATCCAGTTGGACAAGCGTTTCGTCCTATTTGGAACTGTTCAACTGAATGTACCTGCATCTCACAGTTAATATTCAATCTGGAATTCGAACTCAGTACCATTCGTTTCAAATGTCATCACATTATCCACTTGGCTACTAAGTTCTGATAATCATTTGCTTGAGAAATGAGGTGAAGTTTTAATTCACTTGCTAATGTTTTACTTCAATTTTCCTATTGGACTGCAATTGGTGTATGTGCATACTGTGCGTATTGCTTCGATGTTGTCTTAGTTTATAAGCATCATTATAGAGCCATTCATATTACAAAATAAATTCAGCTTTGAAGTAGAATCTAATGACATATTTCTCATGATATATTTTTGTTTAGAACACTTGTGAAAGGCTTTCTAGATCCATAGAATTCTTTCATACTTAAGTCTTGAACGGTAAAGAAAAGTTGAGAAGATCACTAATCTTAGTTTAAGGTTGGTTAATGTAAGAGAGAATTTACAGGTTTATGGGTAATTCCAACATTCTGTAAACTTCTGGAAGAATGCTAAATTTTGTAACAGAGTAGTCTAACTGAGTTACTATCAATCTTAAGCCCCATTAAAAGAAAAGGGTTAAGCATGGGGTCAGCAACCCCATCCTGTAGAGAACAATCTTCATAAATATTCTCTAGACTTGATAATACCTCACTTATTATATATTGTTATTCAAAATGAGTTTTGTGGAGTTAATAGTCATTTCAATAGTAGAGATCATGACTCAATTGAAGTTAGACCATTGAGCCGGTATCCAGTGGTGTTAATGTCTAACTACAACTAATCCACAAGGAATCCAAAAAAATAGGATGAAACGGCCGTCCAGTGCTTCCATGTTTTTTATGGTGGTCTAGCTTCAATTAACCCATGATATCAACTATTAAAATTACTATAATATCCACAAAACCCCTTCTGATACTAATCGACTTATGCTCACAAGTGACTGGTTTCAAGATGCATTTCCTGGACTTCTAGTGAGAAACCCTGACCAGGGGAGTTCAACCAGGCATATCGTGAGATAATAACTCACTGAAATAAATTGTGGATGTGTCGCTAAATATCGTGGATTAGTTGGAGTTAGACATTAACACCGTTAGATGCCTGCCAGTTTAGTGGTCTAGTGTTTAAGTGCTCGCGCGCGAGACTGATATGTCTTGTATTGGAATCTCACGAGGTGGGGTCATGGATGCGCACTGATGAGGAGTCCCACAATAGGACGAAACGGCCATCCAGTGTTTCAACGTTTTTCATGATAGTCTAGCTTCAATTGACTCATGATCTCAACTATTGAAATAATTTTAATTATTCATTTAACTACTTATAAGTAGTTCCATAAAGTTCCATAAAGATTTGAATAATAAGATAGAGAATGAGCTTAGCAAATCTTTGAAGGAGCTCAGGCACGAACAGACCATCTCGTCGAGTTTATATGAAATGATTAAACCAGTAGGAACCTATCTGCCGAGGTTGTATGGATTGCCAAAGTTACACAAACCGGGGATCCCATTAAGACCTATTCTAGATATGTATAACTCTCCTTACCATACTATAGCTAAATGGTTGGTAACTGTATTGAAACCGCTACACGAAAAGCTTGTAAAATATAGTGTTAAGGATGTGTTCCAATTTGTTGATAAAATCAAAAATGCTTATACACTGGGTCTAAAGATGATGTCATTGGATGTAACATCGCTGTTCACAAACGTCCCACTCATTGAGACTGTAGAATGTATAGGCGAACAGCTGATTGAAAACGAAATCGAAACTACTGTTCCCATTAATGTCGTGAAAGAATTATTACTCAAATGCACCATGAATGTGAATTTTAAGTTCAACGATGAAATATATAGACAAACAGATGGTGTTGCAATGGGTTCACCACTAGGCCCTATACTAGCTGATATTTTTCTAGCAAAAATAGAAAATGGTCCACTGAAAAAGATTATTCAAAACTTCACATTTTACTGTAGATACATGGATGACACGTTCATTCTGTGTAAAGATAATACGTCACCACAAGAGGTTCTTAGGCGATTTAATGAAGTGCATCCAGCCATTCAGTTTACATCAGAAGAAGAAAGTGATGGCCGAATAGCTTTTCTGGACGTTCTCTTGACTAAGAGAGCGGATGGGTCATTGAAAAGGAACTTAAACAGAAAAAGTACATGGACTGGGCAATATACGCATTTCCTGAGCTTTGTAACTCTATAGCACAAACGAAACCTGATCAAAACCCTTAGTTATCGTATACGCGCTATATGTTCTGCTGATATAGTTAAACAAGAGCTTAATAGCTTGAATAATACTCTCAGGGAGAACGGCTACCCTAGAAAGTTTATAACTAAATATATGATCACGAAGGCGAAAATAGGCGAAATACAAACATTGAAGAAGAAATCCCTGTTCATGTATCTACAATTCAGAGGGGATGCGGCGAGTGAAATATTAACTCAGAGACTACGTAGGAGAATACAAAAATCTTTTAACGCCAGAGAACAGCGATTAGTGTTTTCTACGCGCCCAATCGTTACACCGAGACTAAAAGATGAATTACCTAGAATGATCACCTCATTTTGCATTTATCAGTTCGACTGCTCCTGTGGAGCGAGTTATATTGGTCGAAGTTCTAAGAATTTACATTTTCGTCCCCGTAAACACCTTCCAGCGTGGCTCAAAAAACGTTTGATGAAGAATGTATACAGCTCAATATCAGCCCATTTAGTACAAACTGATCATAGTGCCAGTATAAACCAATCTTTTTCAATTATTTATATGGTCAGTAATTTTTTGCCCAAACTGGTCAGACTGAAAGTCCGGATGAAGAAACCTTTGCTATGACTATAGAAGGAATATCTTCAACCACTTCTCCTCCCGTGGCCAACATTAAGGCCAATTAATCAATCGTTATCTTAACTATTGAATGACTTAATTTGACTATTGTACTTACGACCTTTTGTGGTCAAATGTAATTTTCTCTGTTATCTTATTCATAAATCTTTGTATTATTATTATTATTATTATTATTATTATTCGTATTATTGGTTAAAGATCATTACTAAACTCCCCTATATATGATTCATTCCCTTTGTATTCTTCCCTCTTTATTATTGAATGGTAATTGCACTATTATTTCTCATTCACCCTATTTGACCCAATATTTATTCGGATCATGGATCTTAACAATTTCACTTAACATATACACAGATTCAAGTTACACATTCTATATGAGTCCTATCAACATGAACAATTTTTTTTTGTATTTTGTTTATCACAATCCTACAGTTCATATACTTTAAACGATATACTTTACCCTATAACCTGACCATTTTTCGGATTATTCATTTGGATCTATGAATGATAGAACCTGAAGAGAATCTTCTTTATTCAATTACTAGTTCCATAAATCTCAAGAAATTTTTTAATGTTATAACTTTCAACCAATATCAAAGTCACAATCTTCAATGCGAACGTCAAGACAGTCAGTTCTACTGTACGGAGCTGAAACTTGGAGAACTACAACAACCGCCATCAAGAAGGTACAGGTATTTATCAATAGCTGTCTACACAAGATACTCAACATCCATCGACCGGATACCATCAGCAACAGCCTTTTGTGGGAGAGAACCAACCAGCTTCCAGCTGAAGAGGAAATTAGTAAAAGACGATGGAAATGGATAGGACATACATTACAAAAATCTTCAAACTGCATCACGAGACAAGCCCTAACTTAGAATCCTGAAGGGAAGCGGAAAAGAGGAAGGCCAAAGAACACATTACGTCAGGAAATAGAAGCAGATATGAAAAGGATGAATAAGAACTGGAAAGGATTGTCTATGACAGGGTTAGATGGAGAATGCTGGTGGTGGGCCAATGCTCCTTCACGAGTAGATACAGGCGTAAGTAAGTAAGTAAGTAAGTAAGTAAGTAAGTAAGTAAGTAAGTAAGTAAGTAAGTAAGTGTTTAAGCGATCAGATCTCATAAATTTTTTTCCCTGAACAATAAGAACCCAGTATTACAACAGCGATGACGTAATAAATTAAGTTAAATAAAACCAAGTAGATTACAATACAACAGAATTCTATTTATTCTATTATTGGCTTGAAATCAAACTTAACTTTCTTGATCAGAACTAGATAGTTCAAATCTCTACCGTACATATAATGAGTATAGATTAAACGTTTGCTCATTAAACGTCACTTGATTATGTAGATCAATTTAGTAAACTTAATATTTTGAAACTGAATGTCAATAAATATCACATAGTCTAACTGCATATTGAAGTAAAATATAGATAGTTTGAGAGAGTTTGCAGAAGATTCACGAGATAGATTACGAGCTAAGAACGTACTTGTCACTAAGTTTTTACCTCCGGTCTTGTAGAAAATGATATTCTCATTAGTATTCGAGTCTGAACCACCGAACTTTACATTCGAATACGTTACTATTGAGCTTCTGGGCCTTCGACTGATTTCTTTTAGGGCTGATTTTGTTATTATCTTGCTTATGATCAATATGAAAGTCATCACATTTCATTGGAATGGCTTCAAGTTCACTTAACTTATGTAAATGTATGATATATAATAATTCAACATACATTGTTTGATATACGTCATTCGTATACGCAGCTTCGATATTTACTCCGAGACATCATTTAACTATGTGCTATGTGAATTAGAAAAATGATGATCGGTTGTTTACCTAGTCAGATCAGTAGATAATCTGATAGATATTAGATGTGTTATATATTTACTTACTTCTATTATTATTGTTATTGTTGTCGGTTGTTGTTGTGGAAATATTCTCACGTTACAGTCAGATCAGTCACATGTTCTTAATTTGACATATGTTGAAGTCCTGTAAAATAGTAACTAAGATGGTAACTTAACGTTATATTTGTGTAGGGAGAAAACTGCCACCAAATACCCTGGTCAAGGATGGGGACAGTCTATTCTTCATCCCGAAATGCTCTCACATGACCATGCGTATACAACCACTATGAGTGAAGTCTTACTCTCTGCCTTCTAAAGACGGGGGTGTTGTTTATGAAATTAGAAGGACAAAAAGCAAATGTCCGGTGCTTTAACCGGGTTGATGGACACAATGAATACATTTAAGGGAGTTGGAAAATCTGATTCCAAACCAATGGTACACATGAGCTCCAGGATCCTGAAGAAACAAATGACGTATGAATTGATTGTTGGTCACCAGCTACCATGGGACTGAATCTTCAAAGATTGCTCCTCTGCCTTGTGAATAAAAACCTTTAGGTCATAGGCTCCGATTGTGGCCTTCTAAGAAAAACAGCTGGTTCGATCTGGAAAATCGGACAGTATCAGAGCTCACATACAAATCAAATGCCTTGTGTGGTGCCCCTTTTTACCAATATTTACATATTCAAATAAATAAACAAGGAGAAAACCGATTATTATTGCATTGCGCGAGCATAATATCAGAAGGGGGGGTTTCGTGAATATTATAGTAATTCCAATAGTTGAGATCATAATCTAACTAAAGGTATATTACCATGAAAAACCTGAAAGTACTGGACGTCTGTTTCGTCCTATTGTGAAATATATCGTTTAATTTCATGGATTAATTCAAGTTAAACATTAAAATCATTGGATGACGGCCTCCTCATTAGTTTAGTGATTAAGCGTTCGAGTGCGAAACTGATAAATCCTTGAGTTCAAATCTCAAGAGATGAGATTAGTAGATACAAACTGTTAAAGAGTTCCATGCTATAACGAAACGGCTATCGAATGCTTTCAGGTCTTCTATAGTAGTCTAAATTCAATGAACTCATAATCTCAACTATTAAAAAAAATAAAATAATCAAACATCTTTTACTATAACTATCCTCATTTTATTGACAAATATGATTAATATTTCAATTAGATTTAACTTTGAATGATGTCATCGTTTATTTTTTTTTCGTTGTTGTTGTTGTTGTTGTCGTCGTCGTTGCCGTGGTTATTATCATTATTATTATTACTGTATGACATAACACAATATGAAGAAACTTGGTTCACCATTAAAAAGTAACAAAAAAAGAGAAAACAAAAAAAAGAAAAGAAAGAGAGAAAAAATAATACAGAAAAGATTAAAATAGAATTATTTACAAAATTCGCATTATTCTTTTTTTTTTGTTTTTTTTTCTATTTTTCTTTTCTTTTTAATAAACAATGAACATTTTGTTTTCTGGTGTAGAATGGTTACTGAACTAATATAATAATAATAATAATCATAATAAAGCTGTAAATAGTTGAGCATTAGAGATAATGCATAGTGACAATGGAAATTATTCATCATAATTGATTATTATTATTATTATTTCATGGATCGATCGATCGATCGATTGATCGATCGATTGATTGATTGGTTAGCTGATTATAAAATACATCAAAGAAAAGAAATAAACAAGAATTGTTTTTCATTCAATTTAATTGATTGATGGATTGATTGATCAATCGATTGATTGATAGATTGGTTGATTGATTGATCAATTGATTTATTGATTATATAATTATGTATTAATTGATTATAATAAAGAAAAAATTAAATTAAATTTAATCCACTCGGGAATAGTTTGACATAAAACAAAAATTTTCAATAATTTCATTACATGAAATACACATACAAAATGAATTTGGTTTATATTGAAGAAGATTTTATTGATTTTAATAGTAGAGGACGAAAGTAATTGTATTAAACAACAATGAAATATCTGATTATGATCATTAATATTATTAAAAGTACATATATAAGCGTTTGTATGAGCAGACACACTTACACATATACATACATACATACATACATACATACATACATAGGTAGAATAGAGGTTTATGAAAGATGAACAATGATGGTTCTGTATAACTCTCTGCCTCTCTCTCGAAACTGCCCGAATTTATTCGTTTATGTTTCTTTCATCACAGGTTAAAAGTTAAATATTAATAGTAGGATCTATGTGGAAGAAAGAAAAAAACAAATATACAAAATTGGGGTTGTGGAGATTATTAAGTTTTTCATTGAAATCATGAATCGACTGATGTTAGAACACCGTTGGAAACCTGGAAGTACTGGACGGCCAATTTGTCGTAGGATGGGACTCCTCATCAGTACGCATCCACGATCCCGCTCGCGAGATTCAAACCCAGGGCCTTCAGTCTCGCGCGCGAACGCTTAACCTACTGGACCACCGAGTCGGCATCCAATGGTGTTAGTGTCTAACATCAACCAATACACGACCATCTTCCATTGTACTGAGGAAGATACCTGTCTCTACCCGAGATGGATTAGCTCCACTAGTCACGGCTTCTCACTAGAACTTTGAGAAATCCCTCACGAAGCTAGAAACTAGTGAGCACATGTTGATTATCAGTGGATGTTGGTCTAACATCAGTCGATTCATGATCTCAATCGAAAAATACAAAACAAAGTACAATAAACTTGAGATGGTGGAGAACTAATCACGAAAATTATGCACAAATATAGGAACAAGAATCAAACCAATAGGGGAGACTAAACCAAAACAAAGAAATCAACAATGACAAATTTAAAGTCAATAAGAACTAATCAACATCGAGGTGTACAAAACAAGCTGTAAAACGCATGTAGTGACCTATTTTTATCAACAGAATGCGATTGTTTTAATGGAAACAATCATTATTATAACCAATTGTACCAGTGATTGTTTTACTGTGCTCATTTGTTTAACTGTACTAAAGACAGCCATTACTCTCCTCTATTACTCTTCCATGGACTGTGACCTTGTACACTCGTACTTTCGCACACTAATTCCGCTTGTATTCCTTTTGGCACGATCTCGGTATACTTTTGATACCACGAGATCGCCAACGAATAAATCTGGTTACGATTCCTCTTCGCCTTCTGCTTTGTCTGGTACGCGCTCTTCTTGTAGTGGTGTTCATGGTCAATTACGACCACGACCCCACGCTACAACTGATGAGCCAAATCTGGGAACACATCTCAAACTCGATCAAATCTTCAACAATTGGTGAGCCAAATTGTGGAACACGCCTCAACCTCTGGTTAATTCGCGCAAAGAAATCAGTTTGCCTGAGCCCATGTCTCCGACCATCCCCGTTTGGTACCGTCGACTTCAGTCAGCTTTGGCGAAAGCTGGTTTGGCCACCCACGCTCTTGTCAATGCACTCAGTCGATAGTCTGGTTTCGAATCCGCCTGGCATACGCTTGGTTTCCCACTTGGTCGTATGGTCGCTTCTTGTTTCTAGGTCCAACGTGGTTTCGTCCTATGTCTGCAGCGTTTTCTGGTCTGCATCCCTACGAACGCAAACTTCAGATCCTGGATACAAACCAGGATCAACAAATACAGCACACTTCTCCTGGTACCGTTCTCCGTAAAAGACCTTTGTTGGCGAATTGAGGATCAACGATCGCTTCCTGTTTCGCCAATTCTTCCGTCTTACAATCGCTCGTCAGCCGATCAGTCCCACGAGGCGGAAAAGAGGAAAGCCAAAGAACACATTACGTTAAGAAATAGAATCAGATATGAAAAGGATGAATAGGAAATGGAAAGAGCTGGAAAGGATTGCCCATGACAGGGTTGAATAGAGAGTGCTGGTGTGCGGCCAATGCTCTTCCACGACGGGTAACAGACGTAAGTAAGTACGTTAGTATGTTTTTCTATTAATTTTACAATTGATACCATTCTGAATGAACGTACTCTTAATAACAAGTATACTGAGAAGATAATTTATGTTAATAGCTTTAATTGCATATCATGAACTACTAGATTGAATAAATGAACATATATTCTAAGGAAGAAAGCCCCCAAATGCCCTGGTAAGGCCGAGAGTGGGGAGAGTCCGCTCTTCCTCTCCGAATGCTCCCACATGGCCATGAGTATATAGCATCTGCCAGGGAAGTCCTACTCACTGACTTCTCGTGGCACGGGTGTTGTTAACGAAAATGAGAAGAGGAAAAGTGGATATCCGGGGCTTTAACCGGATCCAAAACAATGCTGTACATGGGCTAGCTCCAGTATACTGAAGGAAAAAATGGCGTATGAACCGATTTTTGGTCACCGACTACCATGAGACAGCATCTCCCCACGATGCTCTACTCGCTTGTGAATCAGATCTTCAGGTCGAAGGCTTGGGGTGTGGCCCCCTAAGAAAACCACCTACTTCGGTATGGGTACCCGTGCAGTATCACAGCCCTCACACAAATCAATTGAGATTCGTGTGTCGCATATGTATTTGGTGCCTCCTTGTACCAATATCTATGTGTTAAAATAAATAAATAATAAATAAGGAAGAAATTACACTAATCATGATAAGAAGTAAAGAGTTATTGTTCAGAATAATTAAAAACGAGATCCAAATACGGTTAAGAAATGAACAGATTGAACATACAATGAAACAACAAACTATTCACTACATATAACAGAATAAACCCTTTGTATATTGATTAAGATCATTCTATATTTATATAGTTCTGCTATAATTGAATAGATTACGAGTTCAACTAATCTATGAACGGTATGAATAATCAGTGACAAAATGACCAAATCCACGAACTATTCCGATACAACTCAAATCCGCTAACTAGAGAGAGAGAGAGAGAGAGAGAGAAAGAGATGTCCAAGTTTGAAAGAAGGAAATATATTCCATAAGCACGAACAACAACAACAACAACAAGAATAAGCACAACTCAGCATAAAAATGTCCTTGGGAAATGTTATAAAAATAGCCTATTAAAAGCCACAATGAACCAATCACATTTAAGGTCCCCCTAAGTGTGAAATAACGCATAAAGGTGAAAATGGGTACTTTTGATGAAAAAATAAAATTACAAACATAACGCATTTACCAAATTTTTTTTAAGGATCTAACATTCCCAACAAGTTCCTCTGTGAATTTTTCATTTAACTTATTATATTTTAATTTCAATGGTTATGATCATGAATCAGTTGAAGCTAGATCATTATGAAAAACCTGGAAGCACTGGACGGCGATTTCGTTTTATTATGGGACTCCTCAGTGGCAGTGCGCATTCACGACCTCGTCCCTTGCGAGATTCAGACCCAGGACCTATTGGTTTCGCGTGCGAGCACTTAACTACTAGACCACCAAGTCGGCATTCACAAAATCCATATGATATGAATCAACATATGCTCACTAGTGACTAACTTCAAGAAGTGTATCCTGGAGTTCTAGTGAGAAGTAGTGAACAGTGGAGTTCAACCAGGTCTGTTGTGAGATAGTAGCTATCTGAAGACAATGGTAGATATGTAGCTCAATTTCGAGGATTAGTTGGAGTTAGACATTAACACCGTTGGATGCCGACTGGCTCAGAGCACGAGACTAATAGGTTCTGGGTTCGAATCTCACAGGGTATATATCATGCCTTATTCTTCCATGGTTTCGTGAAGTTGGTTTTTCAGTTATGTATGGTGTATTAATCGTAAAAATCTATAGGTATGTTAAACACAACCTACTTTTAACTTAATTTTATTGATTAATTAGTAAATAAGCTAGTCTTTGGAAAAAAAGGTGTTAATAAAAGCAAATTGATAACTTTATAAAGTTGATTACAATCCAGAAACAACACATATTATTTGAATAGTTGAGATGATGAGTCGATTAAAGCTAGACCACTATGGAAAACTTGAAATCATTGAATTGCCGTTTCGTCTTAGTGTTCGACTCCTCAACAGTGCAATTCCACAATCATGTCTTGCAAGTTTCGAACCTAGGACCTATCACACTCGCGTGTGAGTAGTTAACTTCTAGACCACTGAGTCAGACGGCATCCAACGGTGTTATTGTCTAAGTTTAACCAATCCATAAAATTGAGCGAAACATTTACCATTGTCTTCAGTGACTTACTATCTCACAACAGACCTGATTGAACCCGATTAGTCACTGCTTCCCACTAGAACTCCAGGATATACCTCTTGAAGCTAATCATTAGTGAGCGGCGTTTCAGTGCTTTCAGTTTTTCCATAGTAGTCTAGCTTCAATTGACTCATAATCTTAGCCATTGAAATTACTACAATCTCTACAAAACCTCTTCTGATATTATTATATTTTACTCAATCTACTTATGTTCAAAACGAATTATTGAATGAACTTTTAACATTATAAATGAAATAAATTTCACAATTCATGATAGACTCTTCAGAAATATACATCTACAATTCCGCATATAAGATCTAACCCCAGAATTTATTGATCTTGTAACTGGACACTTAATCTGTAGATCACTGAACTATCAATCAACAACTATCTTCTATAGTCTTCAATAAATAACTATCTCATAATGAAATTATTCAATGTTCTCACCTATAGTATTCTGATAAACCAAGATTTAAAAATAATAAAAAAAAAAATTATAAATAAACTAACTTTATCTTATTGTATCATTTATTGATTTACATTTGGAACGTTTATTCTCATTTCTATGGATTGTTGCTAAGGCATTGATTTGTTTATTATCTGAATGAATAGAACTTGATAATTTATTCTGTGATTGTTGTTGAATAGATACTAAATTATTAATAGATAATTGATCATCTACACCACTATTTGTTGATTCTTCGGATAATTTAGAAATTTCTTCATCATGTAATATTGTTGAATAGTTTACACGATTTATTCCACTATTACTACTACTACTACCACCACCAACACCACCACCACCACTACCACCAACACCACTACCACCACCACTATTATCATTTGGTGATTGTTTATGACATGTATTACTACTATTACTACTACTACTTAAATGACGATTACAATAATGTGGACATAATCGTATAGTAAATTTTGATGATTGACATTCTGTACAACAACATCCTGTATCATTTGGCATAACATTACCACTAATACTAGATGAAGTTTGTCCATGATGTCGTTTATGAAATGGTTGTAATGAGAATCTAAATAATAACATAATATAACAAAAGAAAAAAATGTGATTAAGTTTCATTTTAATCATTGGCAATGTATTTACATTAAAAGATTTGTAAGTAGAGATGAATAGTGATTAGTAGTGGAATCCAACACGTGTATTTTATCCTATTTTTGAACTTGTCAGTTGGATGTGTTATGTTTTTTAGGCATTCCTATTCGGATTAGTGTTATATACTACTTATAACGACATACCACAGATGTATCTGTATCTCAAAGTTGATGTTCACTTCGGGACTCGAATTCAGTACTGTTCTCTTTAAATATCATCGCATTATCCATTTAGCTACTAATTGAAGATGATATCTATTAGCTTGATCAATCGGATAAAGTAATTCATTTTCATATTGGTTGTTTGAATCTTCCCATTAATGTTTATGATTACAAATGATCAGTCTGTTACTGGCATATGAAAGTCCATTAAGTTATTGTAGGACTTTGAACAAATGAGATCAAAAGCTTCAATGTTACCCAACTATCAATCATTAATATGTGTGAATAAAAAGTATACGAATTATTTGTAGTTATTAAGTTGATAAATATCTTTCTAATGCATCATCTTATTAATATATCCACTTTATGAATTCACAAAGGTTAAAAAATACGTTGGCTACAGTTGTATATTGTAAAATATCACAAACTTGGAGTAAACATTCGACATTAATTCAATAATATTCAACGACTATTTCTATTGTATAACTTTGTTGTGTAAAATGGTTTCAAGTTAAACATGAGATTGACATTTCAAATAATGAACATCCCAGTGACTAGTTGTCAATTAAATTTTAATAGTCGAAATAAACTACTTAATTAATTGTAAGTAGTATAATATATAAGATAAAATATTCTTCATTTACTTCAAATGTAAGAGAATTTAAATATAGAATGTAATTTAAACGATAAACCATTAGGTAAAGTGTTCAACCAACTTGGACAGACCAATAATTTACTTATTATAGTTATTTCTCTGTGTAATACAAACGGGTTTTCATAAGATATCTATTTTACAGGCTTGATCGTATTTGCACAAATGACTTTATTGATAATGATGTTACATTGTTATAAGAAAATGGCTATCCTGTGAAATTTACACAAAGATTATTAACCTGTCTACATCACCTAACCATTTAAAAGTGAGTTAAATAGTCTTTTATTGGAAAAAACGCTTAAATCAGTCATTAACAAGACGTATTACTCAGAAAATGTCATTATCAAGAAAACAAGAAAGTTCATGCTCCATCGAGGGACGTTAATTATGAATACAGTGGTCTTGAGTGCTGTTAGAGGTATAAGAGTGGTTAACACATCCCAGTTGCCCACACCGTGGAAGGGTTCTTCTGGAGGTACCTGAAAAGGAAATTGGATTAGAGGTGGTCATATTGTCCTGAGGGTGTGACCGCAGCTCCCAAGGAACAGCTGCTTAAGGTCGGTCACACATGACCTTTTATGAGTATTTTTTGTGTTAGCTCCGTAATTGTTGAGACATTACTACCGGAGATGGATATCTGTGGGATAAGGCGAGGTGTGCATTTTTAGGGTGGACATTTTCTAACACCACCCCTCCTTGTGGGAAGGCTGAATCCCTGTTATGCTGGTTGTCTGTAGGAAACACCTTACTGCTGTCACACCTCTGTAAAGTCAGCAGTACGACTTCGCCTTTGAACCTTGGATTTGTTGCTTTTAGTCTTACCGTTCTTCAATCGACCTGTCTGGCGTGGTAGGACCTTGAGGAACGGTTGTTTCAGCCAGTCTAGCACAGTTGCTTTATCATGATAGGCGAGCCCGACTACCACGTTAAGGCAGCAACAACGGTCGGAATGCTTCATCAAAAACCTAAATGGAGTCTTGGTATTATAACTGATGTCAATTGGTGATGAAAATCCTCTAAATCTAATTCTTAACCTCTAACCATCAACTGTAAATCATAATTCTAATTTCTCACACTCGTTTATAACCGTCATTTGATCCTAGTTATCAGGTAGACATTCTAAAGTTCATTCTAGCTTCGCTCAACTTTCATCCATAGATTATAATCTCATCAAAGATGGTTAACGTTTTCTTATCAAAGAAAAAAAAAAAACAACCTACCGACGTTGTTTTCGTCCTCCTCTACGTTTACTTATATGTGGATTATCTTTTCGCATTGCTTTCGTTTTATACAATTCAATTTGTGTATAAAGACGTTTTAATTCACGCTAAAACAAAACAAAAAAGCAAAGAATAGGAAACAATAAGTCAACTTAATAGATAACATTTATCATATAATGAAGTATAAGAAAATGTTTAGAATATTACAGAATCTCGAATGTATCTAATTTGAATATAGTATGGACAGGGTATCCTGTTGACTACCATTATATCTCAACATAGTGCACACAATGTCGAGTCACCTAGTCTGATGACTACATTGTAACTTAGTCGATAAGATTCAACCTGAACTAAGAACGACCTGACATATATATGACATTGATCATCACCCAATGATCGATTATTTATAAAGTTATTTTCATTTTTCGATGAAGTTTTATTCACTGAGCTGAATAGTTTGATCGTAGAGTTTTCATTGTTATTTTTAACATCATCTGATTATATACTATTACAGATATACCATAGATTGATGTTCTCATGGAGATTGAAAGTGAATATGAGTTTCAAAAGCTATAGAGCTATTAAAAAATGATTCCTCTTCTTCTTCTTCTTCTTTTACTCATCATTAAAAGATATACGAAACTATCACAAGAATCCATATCCTACAATCATTCAACTTCAAAAAAATGGTAACGCATAAGTTTGAAAAAGTCACTGAGAGTCACATGGGCTACTACTTATCCAGTGAATACGATATATATTGTTCGTTTTAAATGTCCAAGTTATCTTTGTCGGTGAATTGTGGATTAAATTAGTTAGTCTTCAATATTAATTACATTACAAAACCAGTAGGTCCTGGGTTAGAATCTCACAGGGGCGGAGTCGCGGATGCTCACTGCCACTGAGAAGTTTCGTAATAGGACGAAACGGCCGTCCAGTGCTTTCAGGTTTTCCATGGTGATCTAGCTTCAAATGACTCATCATCTTTACCATTGAAATTACTACAATCTCCACAAAACCCTTTCTGATTAATTACATTAATTTAATGATTTTGAATAGTCCAATGTTATTTATATTTATACAGGAAAGTGTAACTGAGTTCATTAGACATTTAACCTTTAATCATACAGTGTTAAATTTAAATTCATATCAATCAAGTTGAGATAGATAGTGGCTAGTAGTAGAATTCAATTTGACGCGTTTCATTCTATTTAGGACTCGTCAGCCTGAATATACCTGCATCTCAGAGTTGATGTTCAATCTGGGACTCGAACTCGGTATCGTTCGTTTCAAATGCCATCACATTATCCACTTAGCTTCTGACTTCTGATAGCTACTTGATTGTACGATGGAGTGAAGTTCAAATTCACTTAGTATTGCTTACTTAAATCTTCCAATTGATTTTTTGGACAGCAATTGATCAGTCTGTTATTGGTATATGTGCATACTGTGTGTATTTCCTCGATGACGTTCCAATCTCAGGGTGAACATCAACACTGAGATGTAAGCATATCCAGGCTGACCAGTCCCAAATAAGACGAAAATACACGTCGAACTAAATTCCTTTGCTAGTCACTATCCATCGTTGATTACAAAGCTTGTCACTTTAGACAATATTGAGGCGATCCACACAGTATACACATATGCCAATAATAGATTGATCCACTGCAGTCCAAAACATCAATGGAAAGATTCAAGTAAAACTAACACCAAGTGAATTCAATCGAATTGAAAAGAGTAAGAATAATGTTGTGGATGCTAATTCATACTTCTTTCTTTGTTGTTAATCAATCTACCATTTGATAATAAGCACGTTTATATGAATAGAACATGTAAAGATTTCATAGATGAATGAATCTTTCTAATTTATCATGATGATAGCTGTTCACTGTTAAATTAGATTAAACCTTTTTAAAAACTCTTCTAAAGTGGTGTATAAGTTCATTGTTTCTACTTTCATGGCTTTTAAATACATAAATACTTGTATTTATATGAAAAAAACTATTACCATTGAACCAATATACTCAAAGGGAAAAGCAAGATTCTCCGATACAACACAACATACAACAATCCAATCATACTTGATGGAGAAGATTCCGAAGATGTAAAAACCTTAACATATCTGGACAGCATGATTGATGAACACGGTGGATCTGATGCAGATGTGAAGGCGCGGATCGGAAAAGCAAGAGCAGAATATTTACAACTGAAGAACATCTGCAACTCAAAATAATTGTCCACAAGCAAACACCAATGTCAGAATTTTCAATACAAATGTGAAGACAATTCTACTGTATGGGGCGGAAAGCTGGAGAACTACGAAAGTCATCATCCAGATTATACAGGTGTTTATTAACAGTTGTCTACGCAAAATACTTCAGATCAGTTGGCCGAACACTATTAGCAGCAACCTAGTGTGGGATTGAACAAACCGGATCGCAGTTGAGGAAGAAATCTTGTCATTCAAGGTCTCTAATCATCGGGTGCTATCGTCTCGCGGATCACAACCAGGTAGTCTACACCTACCAACATGACTCACTCAGTCCACTTGTCAGTGACGATATGGATTTGTGTCATGTTTTGGTTTGGCAACCCCTAGCTTTAGTCCAACCTACTCCTACACTATAAGACATCACACATCGGGGCAGTCTGTGGTTGGTCATACGTAACACGTGTCCCAGCCACCTCAACTGATTAAGTTTCATCACTTCATCAATTGATTTGCCATCCTAATCTAGTACCTATTTCCGAACAACTGCATTACTTACTCGATGGTCCCAGCATATACGGCGAGAAATGGAGATAGACATGAGAAAAATGAACAAGAATTGGATGGAACTAGAGAGAAATGCAGAGTGGGACAAAGTGGGTTGTAGAATACTGATCGGCGGCCTATGCTTCATTAGGAGTAACAGGGGTAAGGAAATAAGTAATTACCATTGAACTAAACACAAACTAAATAGAAGAGAGTTTAGTGGATATTATAGTAATTTTAATAGTTGAATTCATGAGTTAATAGAAACTCAACAGTCATGGAAAAACCTGGAAGCAATAGACAGCCGTATGGGACTCCTCAGCAGTGCGCATCCACGACCTCGCTCGCGGGTCTCGAACCAAGGACTTATCAGTCTCGCTTGCGAACACTTAACCTCTAGACCACTGAGTTAACATCCAACAGTGTTAATGTCTAACTTCAAAACTAAACAGTGGTTATTTATTACAGTTCAGGTTCTAGGCAATTGCAACGTTTAATTATTATAAATTTCAACTTTGGTGTAACTGAAAAGGGAATAGCAACGAAATGCAATCAATTCCCTGTATTTTCTTCATATGAACTTTCTTATTTTCCTTAAAAATTTTATTTCGTTAGAATGGAGATTTGTGAAGATTGTAGTATTTTAACAGTTGAATTCATGAGTCAATCTAAGCTGCATCACCATTAAAAGCATGAAAGTATTGGATGGCCGTCTCAGTGATCGAGGGGTCAAGCGTTCGCATGCAACACACAAGGTTCTAGGTACCAGTCTTGAGTGCGCAATTGTAGGTGGGCACTTCTGAGGAGTCCCATACTGGGGCGAAACAGTCGTTCAGTGCTTCCAGGTTTTCGGCGGTGATCTATCTAGCTTTGATCGACTCATGAATCCAACTGTTAAAAGTTATATTTCAGATTGAAGAAAGATTTCATCAGCTACAAAAACACTAAAAGCTAATATTTTCTTCTCAATGCACACTTCTAACCATGGATCCCACTTATGATTTTCTGGCCTCGCTGTTCAGTCAAACGTAAACAACACCGAATGTGGCACTTACGTTTATCGGTTCAAGTGACCACACCATATCAGTACACCAAGATGAAATAATCAAAACAAATGGCAGATTCGTAGAAGTAGTAATAGGTTCAGTTGTAGTGGTAAACATTCAGCTTAAACAATATGATTTGAAAAGAACTAACCAGTATGTAACAAATTACGTGACCTCGAAACTATAATAGCAGCTCATATGCAATTGAGTTTGTTCACATTTAATTTGGTTAAAGCCTATTGTTAACTTATTTAACGGATAGATTCATCTGTACAATAGTAACAACTTCTCTACATGATTGTACCTTTATTACTGTTGCCCTTGTATGAATAGGTACTCTTGAGCATTGCTTACTGCCTACACATATAGATTCATTGTGACAGCCTTACTATTAGTCGCTTCATTGATTCGATGATTCATTGACTGGTTGACTTGTTCATTCGACTTGCACACTCACTCGTTTACCTGCTTTCTTTTCGGAACTACTCTTTCATGCTTCCTTGGCATACCTGTAATTTTGGTGATCTGTGCATGGTTCAATAATAAACTTAATCAACACTTCGTATTCACCGTTTGATTTATACATCATTGGAGGTATTATCTAGTCACGTTTATCAGGACGATCTATATACAAAGTTTAAGGATTATATTGAATATCGACCACCATACTATATTCATTAAGCATAGAATACAAATGTATATACATATATGTCAAGTTGATTAAAATAAAATTCAACTAACCCTTATTACTTCAGGATCCATATCAGCTAAATTCACATCAGCAATATCTAGATCACCATTTGATACTAAATTTAATTTTCCACTACTTGGTAAATGTGGATCACCAGGATAAGAAGCACCAGGTGAACCACGTTGACGAGCAGTATTACATAATGATTTAGATGAACGACATAAAAAGGTTATCTAAATTTATATGAAAGTAATTAAGATAAAAGAAAATGAGCAGTTAGCTTATGATAACATGACTAAGACATATCTTAACAAAACAGCTTTGAATAACAGTTTAGTTTAGCAAAAATAACGAATACTAATCGAATAACAAAAGATGAAGTGGGATTCTATAGTTAAGAGCTTTAAAAAATAAGGCAGTTGTGATGACGGACCACGGATGAACACGAGGAAGCTGTGAGATGCTCAAAAGAAGCCGAAGATATTCTATCCAATCACTTTTTGGAAGAATATTCTAGAAGTCCTACGTGTAGCTTCCTGATTGGACAATGCTAATAACCTCCTGTATGCAGATTGGAGGACTGTAATGATGATTTCGTTCTTACTAAAAACTATAAATACCTGACACTGTTAGGAATAATATTCCTTTCACTAGTCTTCTATCTTCTCTTTGCAACTTAGAAGGGTTTTGACGTTCTAGTGCTCAGTTATACGTGTTATATCAAGAAAACAACCTTCTAGATATAACAGCAGTCTACTTTAGTAACTTAATATCACTGAAGTGTTTTTCCATTAGTGATCATCCTTGAAAGTTTCCATGAAAGAACTAAACGCTTTCATATATTGTAATATGATCAATGAAAACTTACAATCGTCAACAAACTATACTTTAATCCAATATCAAGTTAGTTCGTAATATTGAGTAATCATTATACATTGCCACTGTTAATATCACTTAAGCAGATACGTAAGTGAGTATTACTGGTGATTTAAGTAATTAGTTCGTAATTATTTCCCAATGGTTTGCTGCATAAATCAATTCATGATATGAACCTAACACTAAATGATCTTTACAAGTCTCTTATGTTAATGTAAATTCTAGTCTTTCACAGGAATCAAGAATCTCCCATCAACACTATAAAAGCATATATATATATTACTAGAATGGGTTTTGTGGAGAATTGGTAATTTCATTAGTTGAAATCATGAATCAATTGAAGCTAGACCACCATGGAAAACCTGGAAGCACTGGACGGCCGTTTCGTCCTAGTACGGGACTCCTCAGCAGTGCGCATCCACGATCCCGCCCCCCGCGGGATTCTAACCCAGGACCCACTAGTCTCGCGCCAGGCGCTTAACCAACTAGACTACTGAGCCGTAATCCAACGGTGTTAATGTCTAACTTCAACCAATCCACGAAGTTGCGCCACCGTCACCATTGTCTTCAGTGAGCTGATATCTCACAACCCATTCTAGTAATAATCATCTGCTCACTAGTGACTGACTCCAAGAGATACTCCTGGAGTTCTAGTGAGAAGCCGTGACCAGTGGAGTTCAACCAGGTCTGTTGTGAGATATCAGCTCACTGAAGACAAGGGTGTACGGTGGCGCAACTTCGTGGATTGGTTGAAGTTAGACATTAACAGTGTTGGATGCCATCCGGCTCAGTGGTCTTGTTGGTTAAGCGCCTGGCGCGAGACTGACTAACTAACCCGGTGAGACCTTAATTTATGGACGACAGTTGAGCGACGCTAGAATGACCTTGAGAGTGTCTACCTGATAACTAGAACTAAATGAGGATTATAAACCGGTGTGATGAATTCGATTTATAATTTACAGTTGATAGTTAAGGTTAGGAGTTTGATTTAGGGTATTCATCACGAACTGATATCAACTATAATGCCAAAAACGTTATCAAGCCAAATAGATGAGTGAATTTCGCGCCAAAATCTAAGACCTGTTATTGTAAAACTGATTGGTTTGTCCATAAATTATAGTCTCACCAACAAACTAACTTCTATCTGAAGAGGAATTTATCAAAAGATACTAGAAGTAAATAAGATACACATTGACGTAATTGTCATGGGGCAAGCACTAAACTTGGAATCCTGAAGTAAAATGGAAAAGTGGAACATGAAAGAACACACTATTTCAAGAATTGGAAACTGACATGAAAAGAATATATAGGAACTGGAAAACATAATTCAGGACAGAGTTCGATGGAAAATGCTGGTGAGCGGTCTATATCTTCCATGAAGAAAAACAGGCATAAGAAAGTAAGTAAGTAAGAAAGAAAGTAAGTAAGTAGGTAGGTGAGTAAGTGAGTAAGTAAGTAAGTAATTAAGTAGGTAGGTGAGTGAGTGGGTGAGTAAGTAAGTAAGTAAGTAGGTAGGTGAGTGAGTGAGTGAGTAAGTAAGTAAGTAAATAGGTAGGTGAGTGAGTGAGTAAGTAAGTAAGTAAGTAAGTAAGTAGGTGAGTGAGTGAGTGAGTAAGTAAGTAAGTAAGTAGGTAGGTGAGTGAGTGAGTGAGTAAGTAAGTAAGTAAATAGGTAGGTGAGTGAGTGAGTAAGTAAGTAAGTAAGTAAGTAGGTGAGTGAGTGAGTGAGTAAGTAAGTAAGTAAGTAGGTAGGTGAGTGAGTGAGTGAGTAAGTAAGTAAGGAAGGAATGAAGGAAATAATTTAATAGAAACCTTTTTATTAAATGTGATTTAATGTCAATAAAATTTCATGTAGAACATACCTTTGGTACAAAAATCAATAAAAGATTCACTGTTACAGTTATATGAGATCGTGCAAAATATAATAGAAATATATAATCAGGATGAACACTGTACCAAATGAAATGTCTACAATATAAAAATGAATAAAAAGAAAAAAAACTAATATAATAAATCTTTGTAATTGACTTTAACAATTAATTAATAATTTATGGTTTGTATCAGGATTGTTAGAGGTATGAGAACGGTTATCACATTCCGGTTGCCCATACCGTAGAAAGGTTCTTCCAGTGGTACCTGTAAAAGAAATCGGGTTCAAGGCAGTCCTAGTGAATTCAAAGCATGATTGTAGTGTTCACGGGACAGCTATTTGAGTCTGGTCATACACGACATTGTGTGAGTAATTTTTGTGTTAGCTTCGTATTTGTTGAGACCTTACCGCCGCAGACGGAAATCCGTAGGATGAGGTGAAGTGTGCATTTTTAGGGTCGACCTTTCCTAACTCTACCCATCCTTGTGAGAAGGTTGGTTGTCTAAAGAAAATACCTTACTGCCATCACACCTCTGTATAGTCAGCAGTACGATTTCGCTCTTGGACCCTAAATTCTCTGCTTTTAGTTTTAGCGCTCTTCAACCGACCTGTATGACATGGTAGGACCTTGAAGAACGATTATTCTTTCGTGCCAGTAGGTAACCGTCGTGCTATTAATAGAAGAAACCAGATAAGTAGTGAATAGGTCTTTATTTAGATCTTAGCGCAGTCGCAGTAGAGCGTGGGATTATCTGTTCACACAAACAAAGCCTTTCAACATTCAATATAAGATAGTAGGAAATATAATGCCTATACAAAATAAGAAAGTGAATGAATACTTGAACTATAGTGTTTTGACATATGCTTATTTGTTTGAGTTGAACTCTTAACCAATCAACCTAAGCTGTTACAATTTCAGCCATTATAGCTCTATTGGTTTATCTCGATAGGCAAGCTCAATCACCACGTCAAGATAGCAACAACGATCGAGTATAGTTTACATCACAGACAACCGTTAAAAATCAAAAGATACTAAAAGTTTATACTTAAGACTTCATTAAAGGATTGTACCAATAATCTTTAGGCTTTGTAGCATGTACATCACTTTTAGATCATTGAATCAATAAATTTCTATTAGTCTTACTATAAAATCTTTTGTCTGAATTTTTACATACAAAAACTACAAGATCTAATCTAATCAATAATCAATTCTCTTGAACTTTTTTTGAATTGAGATCACAAATCGATTGATGTTAGACCATCATTAAAAACTTGGCAGCACTATATCACTGTTTCGTCCTATTGTTGGACTCCTCAATAGTCTAATATCATTTCTCCTCTTAAAAAGATCACATTGTTTTGTGCTTAATTGTTGTGATTCATTATCCCTTTTCACATTTTTACTTAACAATGTCGACTGACTACTTATGAGTATAAAATGTCGAGTAACAAAAAAAACATATTGTACATTAGAGTAAACTCTACACTTCACATGGTAAGTTAAACAGAGTCACGTTACGGAAACGTTTCATCCTATGATGATGTCAGTTCGATAATCGCAATCAACTATTGAATTGAATCAAGAACAAGATAGATTGATTAAGTGAACTATTGATATGAGACAGATGTAATTGATCAGTTGGAAACCTGACAAGTTCCAGTTAATTAAAAATTCAAGTTGAGAGTCTATCAATGACTAGTTCCAACCATCTAACAGTAAACATAGTTCATACGATATCAGATCAGTTAGATCAATGCCTACATAGCAGCTTAGTCGAGCAACAAAAGACCAGATAAACATCATATTCATCATTATCCAGTGATCAGTCAATATAAGTAATGGTTAGAAATACATGTTAAGAATCGAAGAAACATGAAATCAGATTGCAAAAATAAATGGGTGAAAACTGATGAGTTTTTTTATTCGTCTACATGGAAGGTTGAGGTATCACTGATACCCATCACATATAAAAAAAAAAGTTACCAACCTGAATTTGTTTAGTTTATGCAATATTCAAAAAATGAATTCATGTCGCTATGAAGAGATTTTATGGTGGTGGTATAATCTTGAGTCATTTCAAGTTGGAGTTCATTATAAGAGACTCTGGGAAATAATCCGAATCGATGAATTTTTTTTTAACTTAACAAACAATAAATTTAAGCTTGATGGGTTTACTAATCAAATCCTTCATATTGACTTTCTAGTCTCCACTTAGATCCCTAGAATTTTCGCATACTTCAATCTTGGACGCTAGAAAAGTAATGAGAAATAAGTATAGAAACTTTGTTCCATTGTTAATGAACGTGTAGAAAATAAGATTTTTGGCTTTTTTAGTAACCTTCAATCTTTCGAAACCTCTAGAAGCATTCTAAATTAAGTAACAGAGTAAGAAGGCATTCACTCATATTGTGGTACTATGGTGTGCGCTTCTGATGTCAACAGATATAAGTAGCATGTATTATCAGTCGAAAGTAAAATACCTGGCAGCAGAAGGTTGAGATCAAAGAAAAGGGAACAAGAACTGAGAATGATTGATGTGGAAACAAAGGGACAGTGAAGTCTGAGACGATTGACTGATATGTTGTAAATGAAGTATTAACTGTGCGGTTCTCAGATTTTACTAAGATGTTCAGTAATTTTGGGTCCATATACTTTCGATCGTCTCCAATTGTGTTCTCGTTCACTAAAGTGTAATCTGTCAATTTAAAATTTTTTTATTATATACTAATTGAATGAAATGTTTCCAGCTTCTTTATGGTTTCCGAAGATCATAACGAGGAACTATTGAGAAATCAGAATCTATATTAAATTCCCTATACTTCTTTTGATGAAGTTTTGTTCGCTGATTTGAATGGTTTAGTCGTGGGATTCTCATTGTCCTTCTGAACAATATCATCAACACAAAATTCAGGTAGAAGTCAACTGTTCAAATTTCTACATATATGGCTCACACATTGTCCTGTAGACTTTAATCTTGATTGTTTATTATTGATCTTTAACTTGTCATTGTCTACTTCTTTATTTTGATTGTATCTTCTATTGATTTGATACTTGTCCCTAGATTTGCCCATGATTTTTCTGATTGGTTAATAGATTGGATAGATTTCAATGTGTTTGTTAATTACTGATTGACTTGAGTGTCATGCTTCTAAAAAGTCCCTGTGGATTATAGTAATTCCTTTATTTAAGACCAACCAATCAGAAAAAGCATGGGCAAATATAGGGACAAGCATCAAATCAATAGGAGATACAATCAAACTAAAGAAGTAGACAATGGACAGTTTAAAGGTCAATAATACCTAACCAAGATCGAAGTCTACAGGACAATCTGTGAGGTATATGTGAAGAAACTCAAACAGATCACTTCTCCCTGAATTTTCGATAATAATATTTTTCAAAAAAGCAATGAGAATCCCACGACTAAACCATCCAAATCAGAGAACAAAACTCTATCATCTCAAAAACATGTATGCTACATATAAGCAAAGATGAATAGTGGCTAGCAGTGGAATCCAGGACGTGTGTTCCATCCTATTTGGGACTCGTCCGCTGGAAGTATCTGCATCTCTGAGTTGAAGTTCAATCTGGGACTCGAACCCAGTATCGTCCGCTACAAACGCCAACGCGTTATCCACTTAGCTACTGAGCCCTGATAGCCACTTGCTTGTGCAATAGGGTGAAGTTTAATTCACTTGATATTGTTTTACTTGAATCTTTGCTGATAATGCTTGTAAATTAAGGCAATGTCGAGGCAATACGCACACTATGCACATATGCCAATATGAGAGACTGATCAATTGCAGTCCTAAACATCAATGGGAAGATTCAAGTAAAACAATATCAAATGAATGTATACTACTTATTTAGAATATAATAGTACATTTATAATTAACAAAATAAAGTTCACTTGCCTTAATATATATAGAAATCCAGATACTGTCATTTCAATAATTAAAGCTACACCAATATACTGTGTTTCATTATATTCAGATGGAGCTGTTCGTACAAGACGACAATAATGTATACTGATAGCCAAGATAATAAATTCAGCTAGAAAAAAATATGTAAATAAATATGACATTTTAATCTCATCAATATACAACTGCTTTGTTTAGTATATTTCAAGTAAACTGTTAAAGGTCTGATCGCCTCTAAGTGCTTGAAGACATTAACTTCTGATCTAAGCCATTTTTGTAGATGCAGACTACTTGGTTTGAGTTCGCTTGACTATCGTAATCAATGATTAGAGACTCAGTGATACATGGCTCAGAATCGATCACAATGGCATAGGTGTATACACTCTTTGTCTTCCATGAAATTGTGAAATTAAAATTGCTTTATATGTTTGTTTTTATGAAATAGTTCTTTCTTCCTGTACTATATCTTTACACACAATCTTTCTTTTATATATTGATACCATTGAAGTAACAACTATGAATTCGGTGTTCATCTTGTTTTGCTGAATGTGGTATGGCAACTTGGACCGATGCATATATGTGCCTCATCCTACGTTGTATCTGACTGCGTGACTGACTAACTTTTTACGATTCCATCCTCATAAAGTTAAATAAACTTCACCTCACAGAAACTGAGTTTTGAACTAAGCAAAGATGGATAGTAGATAGTACTGGAATCTGGGATGCGCATTTAGTCCTATTTAAGACTCGTTTGCTGGATATACCTGCATCTCAGAGTTGATGATCACTTTAGGACTCGAATCCCGTACTGTTCTCTTTGAATCCCATCACGTTATTCACTCAGCTACTGAGTCCTAATAGCCACTTGTATGTGCAATGAGATGAGTCCCACCATCCATCTTTGCTCATAAAGGTTTCTTTTTGTCTATTTTCATGTTTCAATTACAATAATTTTATTTAAACTGTTTCATTATCCTCGTATACCTTCCACAAAAAGTTACACAATTTCATCCAACATATTCTTCTCTACAATAGCACTCATTGATGAACTAGAATAAAAATCAAATCACAATCGCTCACTTGATATACGTACCCAACCGTAGCTGCTAGCTTAACGCGGTGGTCGGGCTTGCCTATCGTGATTATCCAACCGAGCTATGTTGGCTGGAACATTTGTTCCTGTAGGTTCTACCATGCCAGGCGGGTCGATTGGAGAACGGTAAGACTAAAAGCAGCAACTCAAGATCTGAGGGCGAAGTCGTACTGCTAACTGTACAGAGGTGTAACACCAGTAAGGTGTTTCACTCGGACAACCAGTGTCTACTGCCTTCTCACAAGAAAGGAAGGAAAGGGGTTAATAAAGGCCCACCCTAAAAATGTCACGCCTGACCTTACCTCACGGATTTTCGTCTCCGGCTGTAAAGGCATTTGAAGAACGGAGTTAACACATTAAAAACCTTCTACGAGAAGGCCGTGCGCGACCGGCCTCAAGTAGTTGTCCCTTGGGCTCTGCGGTCACGCTCCCAGGTCAATAAGACCAACACTAATCCGATATTCTTTTCAAGTTCCTCAAGAGATACCCTTCCACGGTGTGTCGACAGCTTCACTTATCCTGGGAGTCTCATCAGCCCTTGTCGTCTGGTGTGTGACGAAATCTCAGCACAGACACAGAAGGCTCGACTAGCTTTTGCCAACTTGAGTCATGGTGTAGGCAAGATATCAGTCCAACAAACAAAGAACGGAGTACTGCTCAGCTATTTGTTCTGTCCTAATTTAAGGCAGTAAAACATGGTCGGTAAGAGTAGAGAATGTTCGTAAGTTATTAATATTCGATCATAGATGTCTTCGAAGCATTGCTCGTATATGCTGGGACCATCGAGTAAGTAATGCAGTTGTTCGGAAATAGGTACTAGATTAGGATGGCAAATCAATTGATGAAGTGATGAAACTTAATCAGTTGAGGTGGCTGGGACACGTGTTACGTATGACCAACCACAGACTGCCCCGATGTGCGATGTCTTATAGTGTAGGAATAGGTTGGAATAAAGCTAGGGGTTGCCAAACCAAAACATGACACAAATCCATATCGTCACTGACAAGTGGACTGAGTGACTCATGTTGGTAGGTGTAGACTACCTGGTTGTGATCCGCGAGACGATAGCAACCGATGATTAGAGACCTTGAATGACAAGATTTCTTCCTCAACTGGGATTCGGTTTGTTCAATCCCACAGTAGGTTGCTGCTAATAGTGTTCGGCCAACTGATCCGAAGTATTTTGCGTAGACAACTGTTAATAAACACCTGTATAATCGGGATGATGACTTTCGTAGTTCTACAGCTTTCCGCCCCATACAGTAGAATTGTCTTCACATTTGTATTGAAAATTCTAACCTTGGTGTTTGCTTGTGGACAATTATTTTGAGTTGCAGATGTTCTTCAGTTGTAAATATTCTGCTCTTGCTTTTCCGATCCGCTCCTTCACATCTGCATCAGATCCACCGTGTTCATCAATCATGCTAACCAAATATGTAAAGATGTTTACATTTTCCAGATCTTCTCCGTCAATTGTGATTGGATTGTTGCATGTTGTGTTGTATCGAAGAATCTTGCTTTTCCCTATGTTTATATTGAGACCTACTGCTACTGCTGCTGCTGTTGTGGTTGTTGCTACACTAGTTGTCTTCTCCTGCATTTGTTGTTGCGTGTACGATAGAAAAGCTAGATTATTATCAAAGTTTAAATCATTCAGCTGCATTCTAACTATCTCTTATATCCCATGTTTTACTTACTTACGCCTGTTACTCCTAATGGAGCATAGGCCGCCGATCAGCATTCTCCAACTCACTCAGCGTTAAAAAAAAACCGCTAATCCCATGTTTATCCTTCAAATATTGACATCTTTATGATCCAGTTAATTACTAAACGTTATCATTATTATCTTATATATGAATAGATCACAACATCACAAGTTATATCATTGATATATTATACAGTTCAATTTTATCTATTATCCATAAATAGTGACATACAAGAAAGAACATTAATATATACTACTTACCTAATTCTACTACAATATCCCATGACATAGCACGACATACTTCAAAAGTGATTATATCATCTATGGAATCATTGATAAATTGATTTTTATGATTATTATTATTATTAGTTATATTATTATAATGATTATTATTATTATTATTATTATGATGTAAACTTTTTGAATTGAATCGATCCAAATGATTAGAATTATTGATTTTTTTAATTTGAATATAACTTTCTTGTTTCATACTAATTATTGGTATATTTAATTGATATTTATTGATTATTAAATGATTATTTTGAATCCATGATTTATGATGAATATAATCTAAATTAATTGCTGTCCATGCAATCATATAAGTAAATGTTAATATAATAAATATTCCTAAATATTTTAATATATCTTTATCACGAACATGAACTCGATGAGCTTTACGGGATTGAAAACCAGATAGAACCCTTGATTATTGAAAAAAAAAAAAAAATTGAGAAAAAAAATAGAGAAAAAAACAAACAAAAAAAAACAAGAAAAAAATCAATATAAATTATAGATTTAATTCTTGTTACTATGATAATATTATGAAGAAAATATTGTATTTTTTTTTTATTTTTATTTTTTAATTTTAAATCACCGGATCCTATGTTCGAACCCTATCTTATATGCTTTAATGTAGATAAAACAGATTTGTATTTAAATGATTGTTACATAAATTTTGATATTATCAGTATAAAGTTGTGGAGATGAGTAAGTTGTTTTTTTGTTTTTTTTGATGAAGATCATGAATTCATTGATGATAGATTATCATTAAACATTTTGGATGCATTGAATGGTTGTTTCATTTTATTTTTAGAATTCTTTAATGAAAGTGAACATCCAAAATTTCCGATTGTGAGATTCTAACTTAAAGCTTTCAGTTTCACGCTAATCTATGTCGGATAAAGACAAATATCTAGTTCAGTAAAATAGAAGATGGTTGCGCAATTTAGCGGCTTGATTGAGGTTAGACATTAACATTGTTAGATACCATCTAGGCTCATTGGTCTAGAGGTTAAGCAATTACTCGTGAGACTGAAGACATTTGAGTTGGAATCTCGTGAGTGAGACGATTTATTTTAATGTGATGTTCACTACCTACTAATTGAGAAAGAATGGCACTGTCAATAAATTTCGTCAATATCTTTCCTAACAATGATGGTACATGTTCACGAACCAGCATAGTTTAATCCCTTAGAGTAGACTGGACGTAACTAGCTCCACAGGAGCAGTTAAATTGGTATATGCTCGTTGAAGAGTTCATCAGCAGCATGTTCTTGTTTTTTTTATTAACTTAAATCTACATGCCAACATTAAAATCAATTATGATTCGAAATAATATATACATCTTAAGTTTCGAACAAATAATATGGTCTAGCTTCAATTGACTCATATTAATCAACATATGCTCATTAGTGACTAGCTTCAAGATGTATATCCTGGAGTTCCAGTGGGAAGCAGTGACTAATCGGGTTCAATCAGGTCTGTTGTGAGATAGTAACCCACTGAAGACAATGGTAAATGTTTCGCTCAATTTTATGGATTGGTTAAAGTTAAACAATAACACCGTTGGATGCCGTCCGACTCAGTGGTCTAGAAGTTAACTACTCACACGCGAGTGTGATAGGTCCTAGGTTCGAATCTTGCAAGACATGATTGTGGAATTGCACTGTTGAGGAGTCGAACACTAAGACGAAACGGCCATCCAATGATTTCAAGTTTTCCATAGTGGTCTAGCTTTAATCGACTCATCATCTCAACTATTCAAATAATATGTGTTGTTTCTGGATTGTAATCAACTTTATAAAGTTATCAATTTGCTTTTACTAACACCTTTTTTTCCAATAACTAGCTTAGTTACTAATTAATCAATAAAATTAAGTTCAAAGTAGGTTTTTCTTAACGTACCTATAGATTTTTACGATTAATACACCATACATAACTGAAAAACCAACTTCACGAAACCATGGAAGAATAAGGCATGTTATATCACTGACAGGAAAATACATAACAACAATCTATCAAAGAAATAAAAATAATATATGAAAGCTGGAACTTTTTATAATTAAGAAAAATAAGAGCTTAATTAGATGACTTTACTATATAACAATATGTTATCAGGTTATATCATGTTCTTCCAGAGTAAGATAGTTCCCTTCATTTATTGCCATGGTGATTAACAGGATTATATAACTGATAAAATATTTTCCTCAAAGGTTTATGACTAAATATATCTGAAAGTCATTGACCTCAGAACTATAATTGATTTCAAAGCAGTAGTAAGTAAAGATCTGTAATTCTTGGAGTTAAATAATAATAAAATGTTTCAGAACCTGAATAAGAACAGTTTCTGAATTTGGAACCTAATACATGACGGACCAAATTTCGACTGAAAAGTTATTGTTTTATCATAAATAAAGGTGATCTTTCATTAGCTTTCCGTATATTGAACGATCATTTGAATAATAGCAACTATATATTGTATCTGTCTCTTGTATCTCGGAGTGACCATCCTAAAGTGACCATCCTAGAGTGACCAAAATCAAATCATTCACATCTGGTTGTTTATTATTGATAATACATTTGGCACTATCGAAAGTCAGAAGAAGAGTATATAGCCCCCAGCATTTTTATACTATAAGTTGTGAAGACTAAAAATAAGACACTACATATTCTATTCTTATCACATCAATGTTTATGAAACACAGTTAACAACATCGCCCTTTGTTTTACTATCTCTACCACTATGGTATTTGTGTGCTAAGGTGGTATGGCAACTTGAACTGATGTAAGTACGTCCGTACGAAGTTCTACGTTGTTGCTGACTGAGTGACTAACTGACTGACTAACATAGCCCTTTTGAAAATCTCAAATTTAATATTTAACTTGACAATTGTTACTTTATCAAAACCGAATTTTATCCAAATCTATAGGGATACATCTCATATTAACTATTACCTTCCAACCATAATAAATAATAAATATAGTCTGTTTATTATCGTAATTCATTTCAAAAATATAAGAAGTCTTTGCATGCTTGTCTCTATAGATCTTTTTCAACTTTATGAATAAAAACACTTGGTATGGTTTACTTGAATCTTCCCATTGATATTTAGGATTGAAAACTGATCAGTCTCTTATTAGCATATGTGAATCCTGTACGAATTGCTTTGATATTGCATTCATTCACAAGCATTATATACAATAGAATCCAGGACGCGAGTTTCCTGCTATTTGTGACTCGTCATCTGAATGTAACTGTAGCCTAAAGTTGATTATCACTCTGGGACTCGAACACAGCATCGTTCGCTTCAAACGACATCGAGACAATATGTAAAGTATGCACATATACCAATAAGAGACTGATCAATTTCGATCCAAAACATTAATGGGAATATTCAAGTAAACAATATCAAGTGAATTTAAACTTCATCCCATTGCACAAGCAAATGGCTATCAGGAATCAGTAGCCAAGTAGATAACTGATGATGTTTGAAGCAAAAGTCACTGTGTTCAAGCCTCAGAGTGAACATCAACTTGAGATGCAGGTACATCTAGCCGACGAGTCCCAAATAGGACGAAACGCTCATGCTGGTTTCACTTCTAGACACTAACCATCTTTACAAATGAATAAAATTTTAAAACATTATTCTATGTATATATAGTCAATAATCATATTAAGTGAATGACATAATTACATAAATAATGAAACTTACCGTTGAATATAGAAGAATCGCGCCTACAAGCATAATTTCCATAAGTACAAGATTAGCACTTTTAATTACCTAGAAGTTAAATAATCAATAAATAAATAGTAACCATGTAATTGATTAGTTTAAATACTAAGAGGTCGTTTAATTGACCATAAAAAAATCTGTTTGTCATGATTAAATGTAAATTGAAACTTTGTGTTAACTTGGATACTGGCTTACAGTACTGTGGTGTGTGCTACTGATGTCGACAGTTATAAGTAGTATGTATGGTGCACATGGGCTCCAGTATCCTGAGGGAACAAATGGCGTATGAACCAATCGTTGGTCACCGGCTACCATGGGACTGCATCTCCTCACAAACACCAACATTCCATTTCACCTTCACTCAAATAAAATACACCATTCCGGACAACACTACTCAATACTCACTACCCAATATTCACTACTCACTACTCACTACACACTATACAATACAACACAATACAATACAATATACAATCCACACAGACACACACATGCTTATGCAGAAGCATAAGCATCCTCCTTTTTCATTCACTCACTCACTCACTCACTCACTCACCACACTCAACACACTCACCAATCAATCACCACTCATCATCATACATCATCACAGTAGTTGCATGCAGTCAGACAGACCGTGTTGTTGTCTGTGAGTCGGACTAGGAAGGGCACTGTCACTGGTCGGTGTTGTGAATTGGACCAAGTGCTCAAGTGACACGGAACGCTCTGAGAATATGCACACTCTCACCTGGTGGTTGCGGTGTGATCCGACTGATTGTGAACAAGTATCATGTGGGTCGGACTCGATCCCACGCCCCTCTCACACTGCAGCACAGATCCAACGCCTTACAACACTCGACTAAACGAAAAATGACAGGAACTGCACAAAACTAATTCATCAACATCAACACCAACATTCCATTTCACCTTCACTCAAATAAAATACACCATTCCGGACAACACTACTCAATACTCACTACCCAATATTCACTACTCACTACTCACTACACACTATACAATACAACACAATACAATACAATATACAATCCACACAGACACACACATGCTTATGCAGAAGCATAAGCATCTCCTTTTCATTCACTCACTCACTCACTCACTCACTCACCACACTCAACACACTCACCAATCAATCACCACTCATCATCAGACATCATCACAGTAGTTGCATGCAGTCAGACAGACCGTGTTGTTGTCTGTGAGTCGGACTAGGAAGGGCACTGTCACTGGTCGGTGTTGTGAATTGGACCAAGTGCTCAAGTGACACGGAACGCTCTGAGAATATGCACACTCTCACCTGGTGGTTGCGGTGTGATCCGACTGATTGTGAACAAGTATCATGTGGGTCGGACTCGATCCCACGCCCCTCTCACACTGCAGCACAGATCCAACGCCTTACAACACTCGACTAAACGAAAAATGACAGGAACTGCACAAAACTAATTCATCAACATCAACACCAACATTCCATTTCACCTTCACTCAAATAAAATACACCATTCCGGACAACACTACTCAATACTCACTACCCAATATTCACTACTCACTACTCACTACACACTATACAATACAACACAATACAATACAATATACAATCCACACAGACACACACATGCTTATGCAGAAGCATAAGCATCTCCTTTTCATTCACTCACTCACTCACTCACTCACTCACCACACTCAACACACTCACCAATCAATCACCACTCATCATCAGACATCATCACAGTAGTTGCATGCAGTCAGACAGACCGTGTTGTTGTCTGTGAGTCGGACTAGGAAGGGCACTGTCACTGGTCGGTGTTGTGAATTGGACCAAGTGCTCAAGTGACACGGAACGCTCTGAGAATATGCACACTCTCACCTGGTGGTTGCGGTGTGATCCGACTGATTGTGAACAAGTATCATGTGGGTCGGACTCGATCCCACGCCCCTCTCACACTGCAGCACAGATCCAACGCCTTACAACACTCGACTAAACGAAAAATGACAGGAACTGCACAAAACTAATTCATCAACATCAACACCAACATTCCATTTCACCTTCACTCAAATAAAATACACCATTCCGGACAACACTACTCAATACTCACTACCCAATATTCACTACTCACTACTCACTACACACTATACAATACAACACAATACAATACAATATACAATCCACACAGACACACACATGCTTATGCAGAAGCATAAGCATCTCCTTTTCATTCACTCACTCACTCACTCACTCACTCACCACACTCAACACACTCACCAATCAATCACCACTCATCATCAGACATCATCACAGTAGTTGCATGCAGTCAGACAGACCGTGTTGTTGTCTGTGAGTCGGACTAGGAAGGGCACTGTCACTGGTCGGTGTTGTGAATTGGACCACCACACTAACCATACACGAACGCTTATGTATATGCACTATCAACAAGGAATCAGATCACATGGCACTCACCAAATAGACTTAGATAAAACATTTAGTCAATTATCAAGTGACTTAATACGAAGAAACAATCACTACAGCAATAACAATAAGCCAAGTATTCAAATATACAATATAAGGAATTAATAAATAATAACAAGAAATATACATGTATGAGACTCACCGAATAACGTAACTGTCACTTTGGTTTTAAATATACAGAATTTTTAGACAAAAATGGTGCATCTTCTAAATGTGGCTGCTGCTGCTGCTGCTGCTGCTTCTGCCAACGCTGCTGCTGCTGCCGCCACTGCTCATCAACCAACTTTGTTGAAGCTAATCATCTCCTTCATATCTGACTCCAATAAATAACAATAATAATAATAATAATAATAATAATAATATCCCGTTAAATGAGTATTTAATACAGGCTAAATCTTCTAGTAGAATTATCAATTTACTCCAGATGATTATTCATCAAAAGCCTGAACAACACCAGTTATAGATATGAATTATTATTAAACATCATCAGCAATAAACAATCCACAATCCACAATCCACAACGAAGCAAGCACACGGCCAAACCAACTGAGTATGAGTAATAAAAATCCATATATATATATATATTAATGAGTGTTAATCGATTATGGATAAATTATTGATTACTTGTGTCCTACACTACAACCAATGGGAGAATAGATTCAACATTGATGTGCAGACATGCGCACAATCAGACTCACACACAAGTCGCTTACATAGTGGATTACGTGTCTAAATTATATTCAATAAACACAAAAAACCATAGATGAATGGGCTTACTAAAACTATACACAATAAAATACAATACAATACAATACAATGAAACATGCAATCCACACAGACACACACACGCTTATGCAAAAGCATAAGCATCTCCTTCTCAATCACTACCTCACACATACTTTCCCTCACTCACTGTCTCATTTAATCATTTCTCATCACTCACACACTCACCAATCAATCACCACTCATCATCAGACATCATCACAGTAGTTGCATGCAGTCAGACAGACCGTGTTGTTGTCTGTGAGTCGGACTAGGAAGGGCACTGTCACTGGTCGGTGTTGTGAATTGGACCAAGTGCTCAAGTGACACGGAACGCTCTGAGAATATGCACACTCTCACCTGGTGGTTGCGGTGTGATCCGACTGATTGTGAACAAGTATCATGTGGGTCGGACTCGATCCCACGCCCCTCTCACACTGCAGCACAGATCCAACGCCTTACAACACTCGACTAAACGAAAAATGACAGGAACTGCACAAAACTAATTCATCAACATCAACACCAACATTCCATTTCACCTTCACTCAAATAAAATACACCATTCCGGACAACACTACTCAATACTCACTACCCAATATTCACTACTCACTACTCACTACACACTATACAATACAACACAATACAATACAATATACAATCCACACAGACACACACATGCTTATGCAGAAGCATAAGCATCTCCTTTTCATTCACTCACTCACTCACTCACCACACTCACCACACTCACCAATCAATCACCACTCATCATCAGACATCATCACAGTAGTTGCATGCAGTCAGACAGACCGTGTTGTTGTCTGTGAGTCGGACTAGGAAGGGCACTGTCACTGGTCGGTGTTGTGAATTGGACCACCACACTAACCATACACGAACGCTTATGTATATGCACTATCAACAAGGAATCAGATCACATGGCACTCACCAAATAGACTTAGATAAAACATTTAGTCAATTATCAAGTGACTTAATACGAAGAAACAATCACTACAGCAATAACAATAAGCCAAGTATTCAAATATACAATATAAGGAATTAATAAATAATAACAAGAAATATACATGTATGAGACTCACCGAATAACGTAACTGTCACTTTGGTTTTAAATATACAGAATTTTTAGACAAAAATGGTGCATCTTCTAAATGTGGCTGCTGCTGCTGCTGCTGCTGCTGCTTCTGCCAACGCTGCTGCTGCTGCCGCCACTGCTCATCAACCAACTTTGTTGAAGCTAATCATCTCCTTCATATCTGACTCCAATAAATAACAATAATAATAATAATAATAATAATAATAATATCCCGTTAAATGAGTATTTAATACAGGCTAAATCTTCTAGTAGAATTATCAATTTACTCCAGATGATTATTCATCAAAAGCCTGAACAACACCAGTTATAGATATGAATTATTATTAAACATCATCAGCAATAAACAATCCACAATCCACAATCCACAACGAAGCAAGCACACGGCCAAACCAACTGAGTATGAGTAATAAAAATCCATATATATATATATATTAATGAGTGTTAATCGATTATGGATAAATTATTGATTACTTGTGTCCTACACTACAACCAATGGGAGAATAGATTCAACATTGATGTGCAGACATGCGCACAATCAGACTCACACACAAGTCGCTTACATAGTGGATTACGTGTCTAAATTATATTCAATAAACACAAAAAACCATAGATGAATGGGCTTACTAAAACTATACACAATAAAATACAATACAATACAATACAATGAAACATGCAATCCACACAGACACACACACGCTT